CAAAAAATTCGCCGCTTAAATAACGCAAGAAAGGCGGAATATTGATCCCCACAATTTGTTTTCAAGCTCATTAGCTTTTATATTACACATTTCCGCGCTGCTGGTAAACAATTCTAATGCAGACAGCTGTACCAAGAAATGTTTACTGCGAGCTGGAAATAAGTTAGAGAATACCCAAAGAAGAATGATTGACATTTGACAGTTTTCCTTCAATAGAGATGAGAGCATTTGGAACATATTCTAGGAACAACATAATTTTTGTGCAAAACATCCTAGATTTTCCGACACTTTTGGGTACAAACATAGGTTCATTTCGAGTGCAGACAAAATTAAATAATTCACTCCATTTTCGTTGAAGTAATCAAGAAATTTATGATTTCGTTTTTTTGTGGAACACGCTGTATAATACTGTTTTTGGACACGTAGTGGACATAGCGATCGTTTCAATATTATGTTGTTGGTTGGTATTTGTCTCCGTCATTTTTAAAAAAGCGCTTTTCTCTTCGAATACTGGACCAATTGCTTTGAAATTTTCAGTGGTTAAAGATAAAAATTTTCTCCAGAAGGCTATTACTTTTTTTTCGCTATGACGTCATCTAAATTATTGCCATTGCGTGTCCATATATTTGAGCATAGCTCTCTTGTTAATATAAACCAGTTAGTTACCTGGTTCATTTTTTTTTTTTGGGTCAATGGATAATAAGGCTACATATGTATAATACGTGAATTGGCAAACGGCAAGGATCTAGCCTTTTGTTATATCATGTTGTGTCTGACATTGTTTAATGTCGGTTTATTATTTGTGTTGCGTAAGTTCAAACTATCGAATACGGTGACTTAAGCAGCATATTTAAGTCACAACATGGATATGGTCCTATCTGGCCTACGTCAGTTCAATCAGATGCCCAGCTCTCACGTGTTGCTCTCAACAAAGCCAAAATTATAACATAAGGGTGTTGTACTTACATTACCGCTTCAAAGCACTATAGAACCCGATAGTAAAATGAAGCTGTTCTTCAATACAGTAAAACAAAACGTGAAGTGCGCGATGAAGGAAGCATATGCCCCAGACTAGTATTATTATGAAACAATACGGATTTATAAAATGTCATGATACCTATTCTACATTAAGCGAGAAATTCCCAACACCGAAATCACAAGCAAACTAGTTTGAACCAGAACATAGGAGTAAATGACATGAAATATCACACTAATTGTGAGTTATCGTATTGATTTCAGCGCCCACGAATCGGCCAGTTTGACAGCCAGGGCCAGTTGAGGGGCCCTAACTGCACAACGCACCACGATATTTTAGGAAAGGTTCGCGATACGAATCGGCCTATGAAATGTAACGAAAAAACATCTTGCTGTAAAATACATAGCAATTTTCGTAGCTTGGATGGTACTCCCGAAGTATGGGAACCAAGATGACGGACATCGGAACGTAGTATGTGTACTAGGTCAGTGTTAGGGCATAATTCCATGTACAAATACTCACTTGGATAGTCCCCGAACTGAGTAATAGAACTAAAATAAGGAAAATTGGAATATGTTTAGGGCCTGACCCTAACCTGGTACACATACTGCGTTACGGTGTCCGCTATCTTGACTCACATACTACGAGAGTACCTCCTGTAACGCTATTTAGACCCTCAAAACTTTTTAAAACCCATGTTTCTGGCCTCCTGCTGTTATGATCGAACTTGGAAGATAAAAATTTCGGTGCTCCTGAAGTATTTGTACCAAGATGGCGCACAACCTGAAATAGTATGTGCACCGGGATAGCGTTGTTCAGATTGTGCGTCATCTAGGTACGAATACTTCTGAAGCGACAAAATTTCAGGAATTTCCGTGAAAATTTCCGGCTACGCACCTTGCTCGAATTAACCAACTTGACTCGCGACTCGGGCTGCCCAACATAGGCCTGATTCTTCCTGACTTCGTTCTCTACCCAAAGTGACGTGATAATACCGTATATGATGTCATTTGAATGCATTGAAGATTTTATTTGAAGATAAAAACGATTGGTTTTGATGAAAATTACAAGAAGGCAAAAAATGGTATCTATTTCTCGGCTCACACACACAAAATGAAATGAAAGTAACATTGGTAAATGATATACAACGTCTCCTTAAATCAAGAATAAATTTAACGTTCAAGTTCTACATGAAGTTGAAATTTGTCGAGTGATTTTGTCGCTTGAAGCTTGGAAAAAACAGATGATTAGAGCCTAAAAGTGATGCTGTTGAAAATTTAGTAAATTTGACTTGTTTTTTGTGTCAGGCAGAGGTATATACTCGAGTTGTCGAATATGTCATAACCGAACTAAAAAAATATTCGAATATTCGAACAGTTGTCCAAATATTCGGAAATTCGAACTGCCGAATATGCAATAACCGAACTGTAAAATACTCGAATATTCGAAAAGTTATAGTTAACGAATATTCAGAAATTCGAACTGAGGGTTATGGAAGAACCGAATTCAAATAGTCAAAAAGTTAGAATTGTCGAATATTCGAAACTCAAATAAATCACACTTAAGCAAGTCAAAAACAAGTCAAATTTACACGTTTTTAACAGCACCACTCTAAGTACCTATTATCTGTGGCCCAAGCTTAAACGAGCATAATCACAGGATAACTCACTCAGTTGTAGAAGCATTGAATATTGCACTTGTTGACCGCTTGACTTGCTTAAAATAAATATAAAATGAAAAAAAAAATTTTTTTGACAAGCATTTTGATACTATTAAAAAAGTTCACAAAATTTAATGCCATCCAAAATGCATAGTAAGACATGCACCACTGTAAAGCAATGCTGTGCTTGTGCATGTGTTACTATGCATTCGCCCGAAAACACCAAAAAGCTATTGAAAATAACATTAAATTTAATAACATCCAAAATGCATAGTAGGACTTGCACAACTGTAAAGTAATGCTATACATGTCTTACTATGCATTCGCCAGGAAACACCAAAAAACTATTGAAAAAAACATTAAATTTAATAACATCAAAAATGCATAGTAAGACATGGACAACTGTAAAGTGATGCTGTACATGTCTTACTATGCATTCGCCCGAAAACACAAAAAAACTATTGAAAAAAACATTAAATTTAATAACATCCAAAATGCATAGTAAGACATGGACAACTGTAAAGTGATGCTGTACATGTCTTACTATGCATTCGCCCAAAAATACCAAAAAACTATTGAAAAAAACATTAAATTTAATAACATCCAAAATGCATAGTAAGACATGGACAACTGTAAAGTCATGCTGTACATGTCTTACTATGCATTCGCCCGAAAATACCAAAAACTATTGAAAAAAACATTAAATTTAATAACATCCAAAATGCATAGTAAGACATGACAACTGTAAAGTGATGCTGTACATGTCTTACTATGCATTCGCCCGAAAATACCAAAAAACTATTGAAAAAAACATTAAATTTAATAACATCCAAAATGCATAGTAAGACATGGACAACTGTAAAGTGATGCTGTACATGTCTTACTATGCATTCGCCCGAAAACACCAAAAAACTATTGAAAAAAACATTGAATTTAATAACATTCAAAATGCATAGTAAGACATGGACAACTGTAAAGCAATTCTGTGCATGTGTTACTATGCTGTAAATTTTGAATTTTTCCATAGTATTAAAAAGCTTGTATAAGTTTGAAACGTAAAACTAAAAAATTGACAAAAGAATGATATTTATGGGTTATGATTTTTTATAAATTATGCATTTTTATTCATATTCAATTCTTTGATTAAAGTTATATTATTAATGTAAAACATCTAGGTACTGTCGTTTTGAGGATTTATGGTCACAAAAGTTTCAAGGTTTTTATTGAACCAATTTGGATGAATATGACAAAAATGTATTGAAATATAAGCATAAGGGAGTTATGTAATTCATGAATTTTATGAAAATTGAATTTCTCCGCAATGTATTGCCACTATGGGGTTAAAAGTCACAAATAGCAATTTTATGTCTATACGACCAAGTAATCAAAATAATCGTAAAATTACCTATAAATTTGAAGTCAATACAGAAAAATTAGCATAAAAATCATTTTATAATCATATGTTTGATGCTTTCACTGGTCATTATCAGTCAGAACATGCATGGCCCGCTGTTGTAAAGCGCCGATTAGGCAAGAAACATCTTTGGCCATGCTTCAAATGACTAGTTTTATAGGAACAGCACCGTTTTAACATGCATAGTGTAAGTGAATATATTTGGAAGCTAGAATGAAATAATGCCGAAAAATTATCGCCCGTTTGGAGGAAATTCCAAAACATGAGACCCGATCGGGAGACAATATATAATAAAATCTCAAACTTTTAAGATACATCAAATATAATCGCCCGTTTCGAGGACAGATTGATAAAATAGATCCCAAAGATCGGACAGATAATTTTTCGACTCAAAAGATATAATAAAACGAAAAGAAATATAATAAAACGATCGTATATTCGATTTTCATTAAATATTTACAAGCATAAAACATCAATTTTACTAAACAGCAAAATAATCACATAGGAGACGAAATATTGAGTTATTGGACCATTTCCGAGAAAGTATATTTCCGCGATTTTTCGCGCTAATATACATTCTACATTTTACAGTAATTCCCATCTTTAGGTTGGTAGTACACTACATAAAAACGCGTTTTTTACTAACATTTTCATGTTATTCAATTTATCAACTGAAGCTAAATAATATAAGAACAACACAAGAATGATGTAAAAATTTCGTATTTCAGCAGTGTCTAGGCAAGATTTAGCTTTATTAATAAAAAATAGATTACAAACTTTTGAAAAAAGCGTAAATAATCTGATATTTAATCGTATAGTATTGAATGTAAGATTATTTATATTATACTATTTTTTCATAAAAAATATTAAAATTCTACCTTTTCTGTTTTTAGGTAAGCACAAAATAATCTTGAAAATAAATTTCTCGGAAAATGAATATATTTATTAAATCATTTCAGTAACACTGTAATAGGTAGGAATGCCATCAAAAATTTCAAAAAAAAATAGTTCAAAACAATTATAATTATCAAATATGAGCAGCAAATTTAGCTAGTAAAAAATTTAAAACAGCCAAGGATAAACCGCACATAAATAATTGATATTTCTACGGCCCATCCATGGGGAATAGATAAAAATTTTCAACCAGTTCCGTGAAGAATTAAGAAAAGCCCTTAAATGTCCAATTTGAGTCAACCCGCCGCCATCTTTTGTCCATTCTAGACAGTCGGATAGCTGGCTTGGGTAGCAATTCCGCACATGTTGTTGGAGTTACGCGCCATCATGATGTAGCCATCCATTCCCCACATTTCACCCCAGCTGCAAAAATGGAAATATATGTTAGTACTATTAATTACTTTTTATATCAGTCAATTGGGGGGAAAGAGATGAAATCGAATTGTTCATGTCCGTCATAGAGGTATACTAGATTTGCACTACGCATGAAATGAAACATAATATATCATTGGAAGTTAATTCAAATATACATCTATATTTATTGAACACTAGTTAGACCTAAGCGCTAAGCTCTAGTTGTTGGTGTTGATTAGGTTAAAATCGTTTTTTTTTCGCAAACGAATGGACGAATCGATTTCGAATATTCAGTATGTGAAGATGGGAAACTTCATAATATTTTTATTAATTATCCCCGAGTGCTGCAAGTGCTATGCGTCATGTTAATTCCAATTCCCACCTACCCAATCTCAACTTTTGTTTCGATTTTTAAGGTATACGCGATGGCGCTCAAGAAGTGTGTGTACCAATATGGAAGTAACTAATTGTGTTGACCTGCTTTACATCAAGTTGTGTAAAGGGACTGAAACCTATGGGCAGGGGGTATATTCACTTGGCTAACACAGACAGTCCCCGAACTCGTAATAGAACAAAAATAAGGAAAATCGGGATAAAATTATGCGAAAACCCTAACCTGGTACACACACTACGGGGTACCTACGCGAGGGATTAGACATATCACAGTTGGTTTAAACACTAACGCAATTATTTACATGCCGTAAAACCCTACAACAACTCACAAGAACAATTTTGAGTGAGTGCGCATAGCCTTTGGCGTTCCTGTAACTTTGCTCAGAGATGAGTTTTCTTTACTTCCGAGTAAGTACCCGTATTTTTGCTCAGAGACGAGTCTCCTTTACTTCTAAGTAAGTCCCTGAAATTTTGCTCACAGTATATCCGTCTTCACTTCTGAGTGAGTGGCCGTGAATTTGCTCAGAGATGAGTTTCCTTTACGTTTAAGCGAGTTTCCCTAACTTTGCTCAAATGATTCCTTTTACTTTTTAGATGAGTGCACGTGACTTTAAGTAAATTCGTTTCCAATGTTTACCTGTTCTTAACCAGCCAGTAGTCTTTTCCCATCTCAGTACCGTAACCAACTGCCAATACACCGTGATCAAGCTTGGTTGAGCTGCATTCCATGCTGGTGTAAACGCCTGAAGAATAAAACCTAAAATTGACTTTAGATTGGGATCGAACGTGTCTAAGTTGTAACATTGCTATACGCCTTACATGAGCAAACTATGGCCCGCGGGCCAAATCCGGCCCGTTGGGTAGTTCAATCTGGCCCGCCTGATGCTGCCACAATCAAATTAAAACCAAATTTCGATGTTAACCTATGAAATAGCAGAAGGAATTTGTCGAAATTGCGATTAAATTTAGTTTTGTCACGAGGCTCATACACTTTTGTAACACTGTAAATATTTTTCACAAAATGTAACGTTTTACGTCACACTTACATGGTCCGCCAGTAGAGGTGGGTAAAATTTTTGGCTCTTGGTCCAAAAAACGCGCCCACCCCTGTTCTACGCCCTCATTCCGAAAACGGCTTCACTTGGTCCCCGACCCGGTTTATTGTTCTTGGGGCAGAAATTCTGCTTTGTGTTTGCTGCAGTATTACTATTATTCTTTAGTTATTGGTTATTCCTTTAATTCTTTTTATACACAAATTGTGAACTATGTAAATTCACTGTGATTTATTTAATTCTTCAACTGTTATGAATTTATTTTTAATTCTGCTCTCATTTGTTGGCTTTTCATTTTTAAACGTGACGCGGCGCATAAAAATGATGAAAATGACGTGTTTTATTGAAGTCACTGAAATGTAAGGACCCATATTTGGCGAAGGTCTGTTTTCTTCCTAATTCGAAAACTAGAATTTGGTTGGAAACCGAAGACTTATCGATCGAAGGTTAGGGGATCCCCCGAAACAGTGGTCTTACTCCATACTGACACCATGTGTCCCATCACTAATTAATTAATAACTCGCGACGACATAATCCATCCAAAATGAATAGGCTTCTGATCCGAGCTGAGATGAATGCACATGCAAAATTTGGAGCAGATTGAACCTCGCTTTCGTGAGATATCGCGTGCATCTAACACACAGACATACAGACATACAGACAGACAAATACCTATCAACATACTTACCGATCAAGATCGATAAGTAACAAATTAGGGAAGCGGTGCCGTTTCATAAAGATTCCATTCCTCTCAATAAATAATAGCTTCTCACCAGTAGATAAATTAACACAACCTTGCTAACTGTGAAAGGCGTAAAAAAAGTCGTCGTATAAAAATAAAAAGGAACTTGCCAGATTTATATAACTGGAACGAAGAGTGTCCAGCATCAATGGCGACAGAAATTGGTCCGACTCGCATTACTGCGCTCTTCAAAGACATCTCGTCACCGTGAGCAATGTCGACACATCCAGTAATGGTGGCACCGATGTTCATTTTGTTGAATTTGCACATCGCTTCGTCCTGAAATGAAAATTAAAGATCAAAATTATTCGTCCGGGTAGTTTGCTAGTAAAAGGAAAGGTAAAATCAGTTTTGAGGCTGACATGGTGACACCCCCCCCCCCCTCAATTACTCTGATGTCCTCTTGATGGGCCCGCGGTTGAGAACCCCTGGTATAGAGGTATTTTTAAACAAAATAGAAACTCGGTACACTGTTGCAGTAGACATATTTCAGTGGGGTATTGTTAACAGCCCTATAAGAAGCGAAAATTATCTTTTTTAAAAAATTCACTTTTGTCATGTATGGGGTAAGATGCCTCCGTATCAACACCACTATTCATTATAATGTACAGGGTGTTAGAAGAGTAACGCAAATTAACATAAGTTAAGATGAAATGGTACTTAAAACATTTAACGACAAACATCTTTTAACAGTATTGAATTACGGTGAAATGCCATTCTAAATATTTAACGAAAGACAACTTTTAGCACTATTGGATTACGGTGAAATGCCATTCTAAACATTTAAGGACTGACACATTTTAACATTATTGAATTACGGTGGAATGCCATGCAAACATCTTCCGCTTTTTAACAGTTCCTTTTTTAACTTTGTCATGACAAAAAAATTTACCCTAATTCTGTGTAACTTTTTAAATACCCTGTATTTGAAGTCGTTGTCAATAAGTCCACCATGGCAGCCGTGGTATATACAGAGCAGGAGTGTACCTTATTTTCTCATCATATAATCAACTTCCGAAATCTAGTAGGGCCACACAAAAATTTAGGCATCAGGCAGAACGGAGAAAAATTGAACGGAGCGTCAAGAGCCAAAAACGTTGTGTATTTTCAACCACGAAATTGCCCATTTGAACATAAACTGTTGGATTAGGATTTTGATGGAGACAAATTTGAGTGTTGACAAGGGCATAAAAGGCTTGGCAGGCGGGTTGTTTTGGGAGTCGGACCATCCCCCCTCCCCCCTTGAAATTTTTTAGCTACGCCCCTGGGGCCACCTGTTGCACACCCCTGATACAGAGCCTCGTTAAACAAGAAAAATTCCTCCTAAAAAAACACACCTTGGCCATATAAGGGTAGGACTCTTCGGTATCAATGCCACCGTTCATGACGATGTATTTGAAGCCGAAGTCCATAAGTCCACCATGGCAGCTGTGGTCACCTTCTGGGGTGCTGCAGTCCATCAAGTTCTGTTCGCTGAGAGAGACAAGCTTTCCAGTCTTCTTGAAGTGCTGGCCTTCGACTGACCCAGTCTGTAAAGGTAAATTGAATAATATTGAGATTCTAGTACATGATGCGCGTTTTTTTAATTCTATTTAAGTATGTTTATTATATGAAAGTTTTGGCTTGTGTGATGCGTTGTGGTCAACTCAATTATATAGGCATCGCGTCAGAAAGGTTTCGGGTTAAAGTATCATATCGCTCTCCCAGCCTATACCGAATAACTTTGCGTATGTTGTATAATTTTTTTTTTGTTGCAATGCTCGTTTACTGGTCGGGGAAATAATAAATCCTTTCTCTATCGCTCTCTTGTTCAAATTCTTGTTTGGAACGTACTATAACCGCTCAATAATACGATAGATAGATACCTATGATAATGAAGTAGAGGAGCGGACTGATATCTGGGAAAATGATTTTTAAAGTAGTATTCCTACAAAAAGTTATGTGAGCGTATTACCTGGGGTTTTTACCCGGAGGGGGGGATTTCCCATAGGAGTTGATTTTTAAAGTCATCTAGTATAATGACAGTGAAATTCCTGCAAAAGTTATGTCAGCGTATAACTCTTTTTTTACCGAGAGGGGGGGGGGGAATTTCCCATAGGAGATGAACTTGACTTGTCGCGTGATTTGTTGCAATTATGTGGGAAAATGGTATTATAGTTTAAATTATAGTTTCGAATTAATGAATTTTCCGAACTCTACTAGGAATGGTAATATTATGTAACTAGATGAAAGCGAATTGTAAACACTGACTTACAGTACTGAACGCCCAGCAAGAGCCGCATTTCAATTGGTTCTTGACGGGTGTGACGTAGCCTTTGGTTCTCCAATCAACGGTATCATCAGCTCTTGGATCGCTCATTTCATACGTCATGTTGCAGTAACTCATCTGATTGGCTGGTCTAGTCACGTGACTGAGAACAAGGCTCCGCCATTCGTCTTCGTCCTAGAAATTTGAAAATCATCGAAGTCTTTACAGTTTTTAATTTCAAGATAATTTGCTCGAAGCAAGGTTACCCACACTCAGAAATAAAAGACATCCATGTCTGATTAAAGTTACGGGCGATCACTGAATGAAGATTTTGTATGTTTACGCACACGCAGAGTTATCGCGGATTTGAAATGCTAATAGCTATGTGCAATCACTCAGACGTGAAGAAGACTCATCTCTGAATATTCGAACCGAACTAAGGTCGAATCTCATCTCAGCAAATTGTTCCATATTCTATTGAGTTTAATTATTCGAACTGAGCCAAATTCGATCGAATTTAGGCATATCAGTGAATTATTTTATATTCTATTATGTTCGATAATTTGAACCGGATTTGACTTCACTATATCAGCGAACTCATATATATTCTATATTCTATTTTTTCGATAATCCGAACCCAACTCGAACTAACCATATCGGCGAATTGATTCATTCCAAGTCTGAAGGTATGGATTCCATTATCTGCTTCCATGTTATGTTCTACAACCTTCTTCAAATTCTTTTCCCAGATATATTGTCTTTTGTTTTCTTCTTCGTACGAGTACGATTTTCCTAAACGAAAACATGGATGACGTCATAAGATATCTTCAATGACGTCAATATATATATATGACATATTAATGTAATAATTTTGCAAGATTTTGATTCCCTCGTTCTTTAAAATACGATTTTCCTGTAGCGAAAAATTTGATGACGTCATAGAAAAATGTTGGTGACGGTGGTGTATTAATTTCTGAACAATTGTGATTCCCATGTTATCTTTACAACAGCAAAAGTATTTATGACGTCATAGTATGAAGTTTAGACGAAGACTTATTGGGTCATTATTTCTTTATTTCGATATTCACCCCGAATAGAGCCTTCTCAAGCAGAAACTAATATGTATGGATCTACTTTAGTTATGAAACCACTGTAATACGGCTAATCAAATTGTCGATTGGGACCACACATATTCCTTATTAGCAACCTTGCCGTTTAAGCCTAGCCTTGTCTTGAGTGAAGTGGCGGGCAAAGATTCTGAACAAAAAAATTCAAACCAAGAAATCATCGTATTTAGGTTCAACCTATTTACAATACATATAAACGCAAAGAAATTCATTTACGACAAAACCCATAACGATACATTAAAAAATAAATTGAAAATTTAGCGTTCACTTACCATGTTCAGATTTCCATAATTCCCACGTCGTCTGAAAAAAACTGTTTGCCGCGACCGCAGCAAAACAGATCGCGAAAAGAAAAATTCGATGCATTTTTTCTTCTTCTATGTTTCCTACTTTTCTTTTTTTGTGAGAATCGGAGTGAAAATTTAATCTCTAGCTTCTTCTTCTTTTTTTGACGCCGAGCAAATGGGTTTCTCATCTACTCGAAAATGGCGCAAACTTTATCAACGAAAATAAATTATCAGTAATCTTTATCAAACTCGCTAATAGTCGGAAGGATTTCAGTTTGATTGAATCTTTTCTACGACCAAGTAAACCGTTGTCTACTCTAGAGCCTTTGTAAAAGAAAAAAAAAGGAAATATTTTTCTACTAATCATTGACTGCTTGCAGAGACTTGTTCAGAAAATATATCTTAGAATAAATCTTGTAAATAATTCATTGGTTTTTGACAATTGAATTCACAATTTGAAATTTTTGAAAAATTATTTTTTCAAGTTTGTGTAAGACCCCACGCAACCCCACAAGCATTTGAAAAAGTGATTTTTTCTTGTCATTTTGACCACCTCCATCCCCCCACTACAGATTTAAAAAAAATGATAAGCAAATTATAAAAATGATAAATATGTGTTTGATAAGCGCAGAATATTTTCAAAATTTAGTAAAAAAAAAGATACTTTTTAGCGCACAGCCGCAAAACTATAAAAACATGTTACTGCATTTTCAACAACATCATCTAAGCCATAGGTTCTCAAAGTGCTCCGTACGGAGCTCCGCGAAAGAAGCCTAGGGGCTCCGCGAGCTGTTTGATTACTTTTCAAAAGACTGACTTGGTTAATTTTGTAACTGTCTGATGCGAGCATTTGAAATGTCTTGTCATAATAATTTAATTGTGCGCATCGTTACTCACGTCGATTCAAGATTACTTCGTGGATAACTTGAATAAAAGATTAGTATTCTAAAATAACATAAAATAACTGCCAACTATAAATAAATTGAAACCGTATTTTTTGCGATCTTGGGATTTGGTAAACTTGATTTGTTTCTTCGCACTAAAGATTATTTTGAGCAAGATATCGCCGTTACAAAAATCCCCAGGTCGACTTTAAAACTCAATGAGTACAATATAGAATTGTGCAATCCATGACCGATGCGGGCATATTTAAAATGACTTGTTTATTGGTATAATTGTGTTCAATGTAACCTGCGGTTGTGAAAATCATTACTTCTCAAATTACCACGGCAATCCGCGGACAGGAAATGGGAAACAAAGTTAAGTGAACGAAGTTCTTGTAGACTACCGTATATCCTGATCAGCGCTGTTATCATAAGAAATTATAAACAAAGTCATATTGCCCACAAAAGAACATGTTTATATAACTACTACCGGTGTCAGAAGTTTGATAAGATATTTCTGCACATCCCGATCAAATCATCATCGTAATCATGACTGATTGCGTGGCAGTGTGATAGATTATAGCGTTTAGCGAATTCGAGCTCTTCTTGCAACACTGACTCCAACCTATCGCAGGTCTGCCAATCCGATTCTTTGCAAGATATCACCGTACGAACGAATAAAATTTATGTTATTGCATGCGGCTCCGTTGGTAGTTTCAGAATGGAGAAAAGGTACATCGCGCGCACACTTGACTGTGTTTCGATTTCAGTTACTACGATGAATACCCAAAGAAAACCTGACATAACACCAAGTATTGTCATTTACAATGTCTAAAAGAGCGTTTTAAATCTGTCGTGAGTATGCTGAAACAAAACTTATAGTGTTATCTTCCGTTTAATTTTAGTATTTCATAATGCCGCTTTTCAATCAAGAAATTGGGCTCCGTGTATAATTGTCAACCTCTTCACGGGCTCCGCAACACCAAAAGTTTGAGAACCCCTGACCTAAGCCATAAAACTCATATTTTCCCCAACACAAAAGCACTGCACATAGTTAAAATCCTAAACCATAACTAACGACCCTTAGACAAAGAATTGCCGTCTCTTTAGTAATTTGGTGTCGCGTCGTGCCATCCCGTGCCGTATGCGACTTGATAAGAGGGTCGCGATGTTTTATTACCCGGTGCTAGTCGGGGAAAGGTTTTTATGCCGTTTTATCGCATTAAGTAGACTATTTGTGCGATGTTGGAACAAACAGTATCATGTGATGGGTTGATGTATACATACTTCGCAAATAACGTAAATTTGAGATGAAATCTCAGGTATTTGGAGAAAAGAAGTTGCGTCGTAAGCATAAAAAACAGTTTTGCGAAGCGTTAATGCTACCTCAAATTGCGCTTCATTTGCTCCCTCTAACGGATCGTCTGAGGATTATTAGTATTCTAACCCAAAACAATTGTCAAATCATATTTTTTTAAACAGCTTGCTTCAAAGTGCAAACGTTTTACTGCTTACGCTTGTTTCGTGCCATTGACTAGAAAACCGTTCGCGCAAAAATGCTTTTAAATCTCATTACCCATGCTTATTTCAACCGTTTGTTTAGACTGGTGTTTTCCAGTAAACTGACCTTGAACATATTCCCTCTATGCGGCTTGCTTCTAAGTGCACGAGAGTTTCCGACAAATAAACTGTTGCGAACGCTAACACTGTCAAAAATAACGGTAATTTAAGACGAAATTTTACGTTTTTGAAGAGAAAGAACTGGCTGATCTGGTTCTTGTCATTGACGGGAAAACCAGGAGCCGCGAAATTTTACCTTTATCACAACTCAAGAGTTTTAGCGTCATTTGGAGACAGAAGTGCCTGTGATGGTTTGGGTCATTCGCAAGAAATCTCATTTGCGTGAAAGTCACTTTTGCCACAGCTCGAATCCAGCGATAGTATTGCGATAATTGGAGTCATTGGTGGGGAAATCACTTGCGCGAATGTTACTACAAATCTCACCTACTATAGCAAACCATTTGTCCAAAGTAGAGTTTTATATCTTTCCGAAATATATTATGCGCCCTCATTTACTTTAATAGCAGTTTGCTTCAAATTAAGATTTTCGCACAAAAGGACTGTTTGCGAGTATTTACTATAATGTGACAGGATTTATGAAAACTGTAATTTTGATCAAGTTTATTTAATAAAAGTATTCTAACCCAGAACATACTGTCTAATCGGTAAGAAAATACCGTCGATTATTCCTCCTAAGCGGTATTCTTCAAAGCGCAAACGCATCATGTGATATGATTCATGGACATTATGAAAAATCAATACAAAAATAGCTCTGAATTTTCACGAGTTTTTCCTCGACAATTTAATCCCATTGAACCAGTTCAAATTATCTAAAGGTTAATGATTTATAGGAACATCAGTGACAGTTTATTTTTCTTAAAACATACTCAGAAATCAAACTTTATCCAGACTTTGTATGGTGATTAGGCAATTAAATCACGTGAAGGCAAAAAATTGTTTAATTTCTTTTTTTGGTATTCAAAATAATGCAAAGATGTGCATATTTTAGAAAGTTATCTCTGGGCCTAGCACGAGACAAACGTAATTTTTTAAAGAATCTTATATTTTTATCATATCCTATTTTATATTTATCTATCTTCTATATCTGACCGGGTTCTGTTTTGTGCAATCCATTTAAATGCCTTTGCAAACGTTGCGATATTGATTGTATAACGACATAAGTGGTGGTAAGCCGATGTAGCTCTGTGAAGCCGAATAAATTCATGTTAAAAACTTTTTTCAATAGCAAATGGCACTTAGACAATTGAAAAAAAAAATAAAAATACGGTGTGAGCCCCTTAACCCCGGATTTCAAGGTAATTCACGGGCCATCGTAGTCTGAAACGATCAGCAATTAAGTCTCACTATGTATTACTGCATGACGTGTCCGAGTCATTGATAAATGGTGACTCAAGTTCATCTCAAGTCTAGTGAATGGCTGCTGTCTACGTGAAGAAATATTTCACTCCCAAATTATAGTTAACACTACATTTTTCTTAACAGTCAGTCGTCCTGTTTTCTTAATTTAACTGATTCGGCAAAATACCTTATTTGAAAACAAATATCGTGTCGAACAAAGGTTGACTCGCTGTGTTTACCCAATGCATTGATGACATTTTAATTGAGCCCCGTGATTAAAAGGGGGCGTATACATGACGCTAATATGACTCTGAAACAAGGAAGCATCGCTCAAATTTGAGGTCTTCAAAGTCCCGCATCTGCACCCGTACTGTAAGGCCTTAGCTGAGTTTTCTGAAAAGATCGGTTGAAATTGTGATGTTTACTCCTCTAGCTGATACTATTCCCCCCCCCCCTCCCACTTGATCACACACCTACTTGAGAATGCCTGGCTGCGCCCCTCGTCGCAATTCAATAACCAGTTTAGGTTCCCCGCGGAATTCGGAGCCTGAAACTATCGCAAAGTCAGCAATTCTGGATTTTAAACCTTGATCACGTGATACATGCGTGACTTTGTAATAAAGCGCTGTAATTAGATAAAGCTTGTACTAAAGCGATAAAAATTCAATAAAAACCCATCCTACGCGCAAAATGAAAAGTGATGTAGAAAAAAAACAGTTTTAACATAAGCTCTTATAGGGAATGTGATCACCAGAGCAGAAATTTGCATTTTATGTAATTTTCTAGATATCTTTCATTGTATACGTGAGCAGTTTTGAGGATAGAATATTTTTTACATCTTTTTTGATATTTTTAACATGATAAACATGGTCAAGATTTTTGATAATCGTTTATTGAAATTTTAATGAGCGCGGTGTTTCCGATGACGTCATTTTCACTAGACCATGAGATTCTGCCAACGCGCCGTGCTCTGTGCTGTGGGATATGCGCTCCAACTGCTTGTGATAACAGAATACTGGAATACTGGGACCACAACTGGCGTTCAACGAAAGACCTATTTTGGTTTTTATTGGATGTTATATATTTCATGAATTACATGTAACTATGTACATTTCTGGTACACCTTACAAAATCCAATGGCCTAACTCAGTTCCTATGTGGACACCATGTACCTAACCCAAAATTGGTGATGTTCAGGGCTGGATTTAGACCATGAGAGACCGCTTCATATTTTTGAGCTCAGAATTTCTCTCTGAACAACACCACATTTAATTGCTTAAAATTTAAAAATATGAGTGCATTAAACTTTTCATTCTCCCTATTCATGGGTGTGATTTTCTAATTATCAGATAAATATTTACTTGGCTGAATTTGGCCCGCGGGCCGTAGTTTGTCCATGTCAGAGTGAACCATTTATTCGATTCAGATTGAGTTGGGCAAAAAATTCGCCGCTTAAATAACGCAAGAAAGGCGGAATATTGATCCCCACAATTTGTTTTCAAGCTCATTAGCTTTTATATTACACATTTCCGCGCTGCTGGTAAACAATTCTAATGCCAGACAGCTGTACCAAGAAATGTTTACTGCGAGCTGGAAATAAGTTAGAGAAATACCCAAAGAAGAATGATTGACATTTGACAGTTTTTCCTTCAATAGAGATGAGAGCATTTGGAACATATTCTAGGAACAACATAATTTTTGTGCAAAACATCCTAGATTTTCCGACACTTTTGGGTACAAACATAGGTTCATTTCGAGTGCAGACAAAATTAAATAATTCACTCCATTTTCGTTGAAGTAATCAAGAAATTTATGATTTCGTTTTTTTGTGGAACACGCTGTATAATACTGTTTTTGGACACGTAGTGGACATAGCGATCGTTTCAATATTATGTTGTTGGTTGGTATTTGTCTCCGTCATTTTTAAAAAAGCGCTTTTCTCTTCGAATACTGGACCAATTGCTTTGAAATTTTCAGTGGTTAAAGATAAAAATTTTCTCCAGAAGGCTATTACTTTTTTTTCGCTATGACGTCATCTAAATTATTGCCATTGCGTGTCCATATATTTGAGCATAGCTCTCTTGTTAATATAAACCAGTTAGTTACCTGGTTCATTTTTATTTTTTTGGGTCAATGGATAATAAGGCTACATATGTATAATACGTGAATTGGCAAACGGCAAGGATCTAGCCTTTTGTTATATCATGTTGTGTCTGACATTGTTTAATGTCGGTTTATTATTTGTGTTGCGTAAGTTCAAACTATCGAATACGGTGACTTAAGCAGCATATTTAAGTCACAACATGGATATGGTCCTATCTGGCCTACGTCAGTTCAATCAGATGCCCAGCTCTCACGTGTTGCTCTCAACAAAGCCAAAATTATAACATAAGGGTGTTGTACTTACATTACCGCTTCAAAGCACTATAGAACCCGATAGTAAAATGAAGCTGTTCTTCAATACAGTAAAACAAAACGTGAAGTGCGCGATGAAGGAAGCATATGCCCCAGACTAGTATTATTATGAAACAATACGGATTTATAAAATGTCATGATACCTATTCTACATTAAGCGAGAAATTCCCAACACCGAAATCACAAGCAAACTAGTTTGAACCAGAACATAGGAGTAAATGACATGAAATATCACACTAATTGTGAGTTATCGTATTGATTTCAGCGCCCACGAATCGGCCAGTTTGACAGCCAGGGCCAGTTGAGGGGCCCTAACTGCACAACGCACCACGATATTTTAGGAAAGGTTCGCGATACGAATCGGCCTATGAAATGTAACGAAAAAACATCTTGCTGTAAAATACATAGCAATTTTCGTAGCTTGGATGGTACTCCCGAAGTATGGGAACCAAGATGACGGACATCGGAACGTAGTATGTGTACTAGGTCAGTGTTAGGGCATAATTCCATGTACAAATACTCACTTGGATAGTCCCCGAACTGAGTAATAGAACTAAAATAAGGAAAATTGGAATATGTTTAGGGCCTGACCCTAACCTGGTACACATACTGCGTTACGGTGTCCGCTATCTTGACTCACATACTACGAGAGTACCTCCTGTAACGCTATTTAGACCCTCAAAACTTTTTAAAACCCATGTTTCTGGCCTCCTGCTGTTATGATCGAACTTGGAAGATAAAAATTTCGGTGCTCCTGAAGTATTTGTACCAAGATGGCGCACAACCTGAAATAGTATGTGCACCGGGATAGCGTTGTTCAGATTGTGCGTCATCTAGGTACGAATACTTCTGAAGCGACAAAATTTCAGGAATTTCCGTGAAAATTTCCGGCTACGCACCTTGCTCGAATTAACCAACTTGACTCGCGACTCGGGCTGCCCAACATAGGCCTGATTCTTCCTGACTTCGTTCTCTACCCAAAGTGACGTGATAATACCGTATATGATGTCATTTGAATGCATTGAAGATTTTATTTGAAGATAAAAACGATTGGTTTTGATGAAAATTACAAGAAGGCAAAAAATGGTATCTATTTCTCGGCTCACACACACAAAATGAAATGAAAGTAACATTGGTAAATGATATACAACGTCTCCTTAAATCAAGAATAAATTTAACGTTCAAGTTCTACATGAAGTTGAAATTTGTCGAGTGATTTTGTCGCTTGAAGCTTGGAAAAAACAGATGATTAGAGCCTAAAAGTGATGCTGTTGAAAATTTAGTAAATTTGACTTGTTTTTTTGTGTCAGGCAGAGGTATATACTCGAGTTGTCGAATATGTCATAACCGAACTAAAAAAATATTCGAATATTCGAACAGTTGTCCAAATATTCGGAAATTCGAACTGCCGAATATGCAATAACCGAACTGTAAAATACTCGAATATTCGAAAAGTTATAGTTAACGAATATTCAGAAATTCGAACTGAGGGTTATGGAAGAACCGAATTCAAATAGTCAAAAAGTTAGAATTGTCGAATATTCGAAACTCAAATAAATCACACTTAAGCAAGTCAAAAACAAGTCAAATTTACACGTTTTTAACAGCACCACTCTAAGTACCTATTATCTGTGGCCCAAGCTTAAACGAGCATAATCACAGGATAACTCACTCAGTTGTAGAAGCATTGAATATTGCACTTGTTGACCGCTTGACTTGCTTAAAATAAATATAAAATGAAAAAAAAAAATTTTTTTGACAAGCATTTTGATACTATTAAAAAAGTTCACAAAATTTAATGCCATCCAAAATGCATAGTAAGACATGCACCACTGTAAAGCAATGCTGTGCTTGTGCATGTGTTACTATGCATTCGCCCGAAAACACCAAAAAGCTATTGAAAATAACATTAAATTTAATAACATCCAAAATGCATAGTAGGACTTGCACAACTGTAAAGTAATGCTATACATGTCTTACTATGCATTCGCCCGAAAACACCAAGAAACTATTGAAAAAAACATTAAATTTAATGCCATCCAAAATGTATAGTAAGACTTGCACAACTGTAAAGTAATGCTGTACATGTCTTACTATGCATTCGCCCGAAAATACCAAAAAACTATTGAAAAAAACATTGAATTCAATAACATTCAAAATGCATAGTAAGACATGCACAACTGTAAAGCAATGCTGTGCATGTGTTACTATGCTGTAAATTTTCTGAATTTTTTCATAGTATTGAAAAGCTTGTATAAGTTTGAAACGTAAAACTAAAAAATTGACAAAAGAATGATATTTATGGGTTATGATTTTTTATAAATTATGCATTTTTATTCATATTCAATTCTTTGATTAAAGTTATATTATTAATGTAAAACATCTAGGTACTGTCGTTTTGAGGATTTATGGTCACAAAAGTTTCAAGGTTTTTATTGAACCAATTTGGATGAATATGACAAAAATGTATTGGAATAAAAGCATAAGGGAGTTATGTAATTCATGAATTTTATGAAAATTGAATTTCTCCGCAATGTATTGCCACTATGGAGTTAAAAGTCACAAATAGCAATACTTTTCATTTATGTCTATACGACCAAGTAATCAAAATAATCGTAAAATTACCTCTAAATTTGAAGTCAATACAGAAAAATTAGCATAAAAATCATTTTATAATCATATGTTTGATGCTTTCACTGGTCATTATCAGTCAGAACATGCATTGCCCGCTGTTGTAAAGCGCCGATTAGGCAAGAAACATCTTTGGCCATGCCTCAAATGACTAGTTTTATAGGAACAGCACCGTTTTAACATGCATAGAGTAAGTGAATATATTTGGAAGCTAGAATGAAATAATGCACAAAAATTATCGCCCGGTTGGAGGAAATTCCAAAGAGTGAGACCCGATCGGGAGACAATATATAATAAAATCTCAAACTTTTAAGATATATCAAATATTATCGCCCGTTTCGAGGACAGATTGATAAAATAGATCCCAAAGATCGGACAGATAATTTTTCGACTCAAAAGATATAATAAAACGAAAAGAAATATAATAAAACGATCGTATATTCGATTTTCATTAAATATTTACAAGCATAAAACATCAATTTTACTAAACAGCAAAATAATCACATAGGAGACGAAATATTGAGTTATTGGACCATTTCCGAGAAAGTACATTTCCGCGATTTTTCGCGCTAATATACATTCTACATTTTACAGTAATTCCCATCTTTAGGTTAGTAATACACTACATAAAAACGCGTTTTTTACTAACATTTTCATGTTATTCAATTTATCAACTAAAGCTAAATAATATAAGAACAACACAAGAATGATGTAAAAATTTCGTATTTTAGCAGTGTCTAGGCAAGATTTAGCTTTATTAATGAAAAAATAGATTACAAACTTTTGAAAAAAGCGTAAAATAATCTAATATTTAACCGTATAGTATTAAATGCAAAATTATTTTATATTATTTCTATTTTTTCATAAAAATAATAAAATTCTACCTTTTCTGTTTTTAGGTAAGCACAAAATAATCTTGAAAATATAATTTCTCGGAAAATGAATATATTTATTAAATCATTTCAGTAACACTGTAATAGGTAGGAATGCCATCAAAAATTTCAAAAAAAAGTTCAAAACAATTATAATTATCAAAATATGAGCAGCAAATTTAGCTAGTAAAAAATTTAAAACAGCCATGGATAAACCGCACATAAATAATTGATATTTCTACGGCCCATCCATGGGGAATAGATAAAAATTTTCAACCAGTTCCGTGAAGAATTAAGAAAAGCCCTTAAATGTCCAATTTGAGTCAACCCGCCGCCATCTTTTGTCCATTCTAGACAGTCGGATAGCTGGCTTGGGTAGCAATTCCGCACATGTTGTTGGAGTTACGCGCCATCATGATGTAGCCATCCATTCCCCACATTTCACCCCAGCTGCAAAAATGGAAATATATGTTAGTACTATTAATTACTTTTTATATCAGTCAATTGGGGGGAAAGAGATGAAATCGAATTGTTCATGTCGTCATAGAGGTATACTAGATTTGCACTACGCATGAAATGAAACATAATATATCATTGGAAGTTAATTCAAATATACATCTATATTTATTGAACACTAGTTAGACCTAAGCGCTAAGCTCTAGTTGTTGGTGTTGATAGGTTAAATCGTTTTTTTTTCGCAACGAATGGACGAATCGATTTCGAATATTCAGTATGTGAAGATGGGAAACTTCGTAATATTTTTATTAATTATCCCCGAGTGCTGCAAGTGCTTATGCGTCATGTTAACTCCAATTCCCACCTATCCAATCTCAACTTTTGTTTCGATTTTTAAGGTATACGCGATGGCGCTCAAGAAGTGTGTGTACCAATATGGAAGTAACTAATTGTGTTGACCTGCTTTACATCAAGTTGTGTAAAGAGACTGAAACCTATGGGAAGGGGGTATATTCACTTGGCTAACACAGACAGTCCCCGAACTTGTAATAGAACTAAAATAAAGAAAAATTGAAATAAAATTATGGCCCAACCCTAACCTGGTACACACACTACGGGAGTACCCACGCGAGGGATTAGACACATCACAGTTGGTTTAAACACTAACGCGATTTTTAACATGCCGTAAAACCCTACAACAACTCACAAGCACAATTTTGAGTGAGTGCGCATAGCCTTTGGCGTTCCTGTAACTTTGCTCAGGGATGAGTTTTCTTTACTTCCGAGTGAGTACCCGTAACTTTGCTCAGAGACGAGTCTCCTTTACTTCTAAGTAAGTCCCTGAAATTTTGCTCACAGTGTATCCGTCTTCACTTCTGATTGAGTGGCCGTGAATTTGCTCAGAGATGAGTTTCCTTTACGTTTAAGCGAGTTTCCCTAACTTTGCTCAAATGATTCCTTTTACTTTTAGATGAGTGCACGTGACTTTAAGTAAATTCGTTTTCAATGTTTACCTGTTCTTAACCAGCCAGTAGTCTTTTCCCATCTCAGTACCGTAACCAACTGCCAATACACCGTGATCAAGCTTGGTTGAGCTGCATTCCATGCTGGTGTAAACGCCTGAAGAATAAAACATAAAATTGACTTTAGTTGGGATCAAACGTGTCTAAGTTGTAACATTGCTATACGCCAGACATGAGCAAACTATGGCCCGCGTGCCAAATCCGGCCCGTTGGGTAGTTCAATCTGGCCCGCCTGATGCTGCCACAATCAAATTAAAACCAAATTTTGATCTTAACCTATGACATAGCATAAGAAATTTGTCGAAATTGCGATTAAATTTAGTTTTGTCACGAGGCTCATAGACTTTTGTAACAATGTAAATATTTTTCACAAAATGTAACGTTTTACGTCACACTTACATGGTCCGCCAGTATAGGTGGGTAAAATTTTTGGCTCCGGGTCCAAAAAACGCGCCCACCCATGTTCTACGCCCTCATTCCGAAGACGGCTTCACTTGGTCCCCGACCCAGCAGAAATTTTGCTTTGTGTTTGCTGCAGTATTACTATTATTCTTTAGTTATTGGTTATTCCTTTAATTCTTTTTATACACAAATTGTGAACTATGTAAATTCACTGTGATTTATTTAATTCTTCAACTGTTAGGAATTTATTTTTAATTCTGCTCTCATTTGTTGGCTTTTCATTTTTAAACGTGGCGCGGCGCATAAAAAATGATAAAAATGACGTATTTTATTGAAGTCACTGAAATGTAAGGACCCATAATTGGTGGAAGTCTGTTTTCTTCCCAATTCGGAAACTAGAATTCGGTTGGGAACCGAAGACTTATCGATCGAAGGTTAGGGGATCCCCCAAAACAGTGGTCTTACTCCATAGTGACACCGTGTGTGCCATCACTAATTAATTGATAACTCGCTAATTACACGACATAATCCATCCAAAATGAATAGGCTTCTGATCTGAGCTAAGATGACTGCACATGCAAAATTTGGAGCAGATTGAACCTCGCTTTCGTGAGATATCGCGTGCATCTAACACACAGACATACAGACAGACAGACAAATACCTATCAACATACTTACCGATCAAGATCGATAAGTAACAAATTAGGTAAGCGGTGCCGTTTCATAAAGATTCCATTCCTCTCAATAAATAATAGCTTCTCACCAGTAGATAAATTAACATAACCTTGCTAATTGTGAAAGGCGTGAAAAAAGTCGTCGTATAAAAATAAAAAGGTACTTGCCAGATTTATATAACTGGAACGAAGAGTGTCCAGCATCAATGGCGACAGAAATTGGTCCGACTCGCATTACTGCGCTCTTCAAAGACATCTCGTCACCGTGAGCAATGTCGACACATCCAGTAATGGTGGCACCGATATTCATTTTGTTGAATTTGCACACCGTTTCGTCCTAGATAGAAAATAAAATAATTGTGATAAACTGGATTAAAATTTTTCGCCAGGACATTTTCTCCCCACGCCACGTCACCGAGCCATGAGCCTAGTCAGGATACATCCCAAAAAAACCAAATGTTTAATGTTATTTTTGTTTGAAATTTTGCGACATTTGCATTGAGTGGTAAATTCTTACGCCTTTTCAAACACCATTTTGAACTATTTTTTAAGATATTGTTAGATAACAGTTGCTGATTTTATCTGGTTTTGTTCGGTGCATAAGGCATGAGTAAGCGTCGTATTACGTCATTAAAAAAATGTAAAAGGAGTAAAATCAGCTTTGCGACTAGCGTGGTGCCCGCTCCAACTGCTCTGTGGTCCACTTGATGGGCCAAGGGCACTAGGTTAGGAACCACTGTTATGTTATTTTGTACTCACTGTTGCAGCATTTACATTTTAGTGGGGTATTGCTTTATTAGAAGTGAAAATTATCTTTTGCAAAAAAATCACCTTTGCCATGTATGGGTAAGATGCCTTCGTATCAACACCACTATTCATATTCATGTACAGGGTGTTAAAAAAAGAACGCAAAATTAGCAGAAGTTGAGATGAAATGCTACCAAAACAATTAACGACTGACACATTTTAACGGTATTGAATTAAAGCAAAACACCATTTAAACATTTCACGACTGATGATTTTTAACAGTTACAGCTATGACAAAAAAAAATTACCCTAATTTTGCGTAATTTTTTTAACACCCTGTATTTGGAGTCGTTGTCCATAAGTCTAACGTGGCAGCCGTAGTTTAAATATAGAAGAAGAATGTGCAATATTTTTTGTCATATAATCAACTTCCGACATCCAGTAGGGCCACACAAAAATTAAGGCATCAGGCAGAACGGAGAAAAATTGAACGGAGCGAATTTTTGAACATAAACTGTTGGATTAGGATTTTAATGAGGAAAAATGTGAGTGTTGACAAGGGCATAAAAGGCTTGGTGGGCGGGTTGTTTTGGGAGTCGGACCACCCCCTCCCCCCTTGAAATTTTTTAGCTACGCCCCTGAGGCCACCTGTTGCACACCCCTGATACAGAGCCTCGTTAAACATGAAAAATTCCTCCTAAAAAAAACACACCTTGGCCATATAAGGGTAGGACTCTTCGGTATCAATGCCACCGTTCATGACGATGTATTTGAAGCCGAAGTCCATAAGTCCACCATGGCAGCTGTGGTCACCTTCTGGGGTGCTGCAGTCCATCAAGTTCTGTTCGCTGAGAGAGACAAGCTTTCCAGTCTTCTTGAAGTGCTGGCCTTCGACTGACCCAGTCTGTAAAGGTAAATTGAATAATATTGAGATTCTAGTACATGATGCGCGTTTTTTTAATTCTATTTAAGTATGTTTATTATATGAAAGTTTTGGCTTGTGTGATGCGTTGTGGTCAACTCAATTATATAGGCATCGCGTCAGAAAGATTTCGGGTTTAAAGTATCATATCGCTCTCCCAGCCTATACCGAATAACTTTGCGTATGTTGTATAATTTTTTTTGTTGCAATGCTCGTTTACTGGTCGGAGAAATAATAAATCCTTTCTCTATCGCTCTCTTGTTCAAATTCTTGTTTGGAACATACTATAACCGCTCAATAATACGATAGATAGATATATACCTATGATAATGGAGTAGAGGAGCGGACTGATATCTGGGGTTATGGTTTTTAAAATAATATTCCTACAAAAAGTTATGTGAGCGTATTACCTGGGGTTTTTACCCGGAGGGGGGAAAGTCATCTAGTATAATGACAGTGAAATTACTGCAAAAGTTATGTCAGCGTGTAACTCTTTTTTCACCGGGGGGGGGGGGGGGGGGGATTTCCCATAGGAGATGAACTTGACTTGTCGTAGGGTTGTTGCGTGATTTGTTGCAATTATACGGGAAAATGGTATTATAGTTTAAATTATGGTTTCGAATTAATGAAGTTTCCGAACTATTCTACTAGGAATGGTATTATTATGCAACTAGATGAAAGCGAATTGTAAACACTGACTTACAGTACTGAACGCCCAGCAAGAGCCGCATTTCAATTGGTTCTTGACGGGTGTGACGTAACCTTTGGTTCTCCAATCAACGGTGTCATCAGCTCTTGGATCGCTCATTTCATACGTCATGTTGCAGTAACTCATCTGATTGGCTGGTCTAGTCACGTGACCGAGAACAAGGCTTCGCCATTCGTCTTCGTCCTAAAATATAGGAATCGGAAAATATAAAATAACGTTGAAGTTTACACGTATATAGATAAGCAAAGAGAACTTGCTATAAGCAAAGCCACTCAGGACTCAGGAGTAGAACAGATTCATCTTTGAGTAAATTTACGAACAACCACTGAAATGCCAATATCTCAGCACACTCACTCATAAGGCTGGGCATTTCGAATCGAATATTCGAATCGGTTCAGAGCGGGATATCGAATCGCCGCCATCTTGTTTTTTCGAAAATATTCGATTCGATCCTGAAATCATCATGTATTCGAAAATGCCCAACCCTACTCATTCAAAAGTGAGCCGACTCATCTCTGAGCAAAGTTATGCATACGCACTCCGGAGTAAAGAAGACTCATCTCAGAGCAAAGTTATGCGTACGCACTCAGAAGTAAATGAGACTCATTTTTACAGTGAATTACACAATGCTGATGTCGTTGAAAAAAAATTTTTTTGGGGGGGTAAATGCTCATTCAAAACGTAATCGAATAGACAAAAATGTACCCCATTTTCTTTAGTCTTGTCAAGTTATACAGGGATGTGCAACATTTGATTTAAAAGAGCCAGATACAGATAACTGGGTAAAACCGCGGGCCACACCATTATTTAACATAGGCTTTCAAAATTTTGGTTATTGATATTATGACATGCGTTGTTGTTCACTTTGCACAAGCTAGTTATTGGGGCATTGTAACGTCATAGGCATAGATAATAAATTGTAATCAGATATAACTTTGTAACGCAAAGGGATTGGAATTCCTCGCACGCATGCCAGATTCAACTAAATTGAAATATCCGGTGGGCCCTCAAAATTTTTTCTTGTGGGCCGCAGGGGGCACACCCCCAAGTTAGACAAATATCTACCGAAATTTTCAAGCTTGTCCATGGGACATATTTTTTCTGTCCCATTCCCATCCTATGGGATTACCATTAGAAGAAAATTCAATAAAAATTTAGGTTTAGCGTCCACTAAATAGGACTACATATACGGAGAGACAAACAAAACAACAAAATTCACCGCCTAACCCTAACCTTATATTTGTAAATATTATAAATGTGTCCATCAACCCCTTCACGAAGTATATTGTTAATGCTGGATATATTTTGTTCTTTACAGATAAGAAGAGAGATAAGCTCAAATACATGGATAAGAAGTCCATAACAAAATGTTTTACCATCATATCGCAGAAAATCATACGGTTTTCGTGTCCCATGGGAAATACAAATTTGTGCTGTCCCATCCCATGGACAAGCCTGGACATTTCTATCTCGAGGAGTCAATTAGGGGAGTCAAGTGATTTTAATACTCTGATTGGTTGTAGTGAAGCCAACAATATTTTTATTCGAATTCATCCAAACCAAATTCGAATCAGCGAATTGATTTAGAGTTTATATAAGTTCCATTTAGTTTTTGTTATTTGTTCGATTATTAGAACCGAACTGCGATCGAACTCAACATATGAGCGAACTGATATATATTCTATATTCTATTTTGTTCGATAATTAGAACCGAATTCGAACTCATCATATGACTCACCATATGAGCGAACTGATATATATTCTATATTCTATTTTGTTCGATAATTAGAACCGAATTCGAACTTACCATATCAGCGAACTGATTCATTCCAAGTCTGTAGGTATGGATTCCATTATCTGCTTCCATGTTATGATCAACAACTTTCTTCAAATTCTTTTCCCATATATATTGCCTTTTGTTTTCTTCTTCGTACGAGTACGATTTCCCTGTAGCGAAAATATTAGTGACGTCATAATGAAAATTGTTGATGACGTCAGTATACATATGACAGAATGTATCAATTTTTTAAAAAATTTTGATTTTCACGTGAGCTTTAGATTACGATTTTTCTGTAGCGAAAATTTGATGACGTCATAGAAAATGTTAGTGAAGCTAGTACATGAAATGACGTCATCAATATATTATTTGTTTTAATTCCACATCTTCAAGTAAACTTTAGATTTTCCATGTAGCGAAAAGGTTAAGTGTAGTGAAGTGCCTGGACGATTTTAAATCGCGGCGCTGACATATTCAGGTTTAATGCGCTACCCATCATATTAGATTTTACAGAAAAAAGCTGAGAAACATATGGATGACAAAATCTATATTACAACATATTCCGAACTGATTTATTCATGTTACTCTTGAAATAATTGACTGTTTCCTTACGAAGAATTGTTTGAACTGATCAATAAATGGTAGCAAGAGTCATATAACTCTACGGATATTTAGGATTCATACAGTGTTCCCTCTAAGGTGTGCGCGCGCACACAGCTTTCAGAGGCTGCGCACACGCATAGATTTACTGCGCACAGACGTATTTCGATGTAATATAACAATGTGCTCGGTTGGCAGGTTGAGAAAGTTTGTTGTTGGCCCACCCATTAACTGGTTAGAACGCCAAATTTTCTTCATTGGTTTTTGCACAAATAGTAGTCATTTCCAAAAAAGTGCGCACCAAAATTTCTGCTACACATACTACAAAAAATTTGAGGGAACAATGGTTATATATCTCCACAACATCACTCAGTGTTTACACGAGAAATGAAAAAAACATTTTGAGGTTACACTCACAAAAATTAAGTGCTCCCATTTTATGATTTCCTTAATTTGATCAATTCAATTAGGAGAAACTGAGTATAAAATTCTACAAAACCTTTTTAGTAATTAAGCCAAGGGTGTGCAAACCTTCAATACAGAAGGGCCAAATAAAAATAACTGGGTGAAACCGCGGGCCGCATCTTAACATAGGCTATCTAATATTTGCAGACACCAAAATTTTGGTTATTGATCTTGTGACATGTGCTGTTCGCTTCGCATAAGCTAGCTGTATTGTAACGTCATAGGCATAGAAAATAAATTGGACTCAGGTAAAAATTTCGCAAAGGGATTGGAATTACTTGCAAATACCAAATTAAAGTAAAAACTCATTTCGCGGGACGCACATCATTCAAAATTGACACTTCACCGCGGGCCGCACAATTCTTTCTTGAGGGCCGCATTTTGCCCGCGGGCCCCAAGTTGCTCATCCCTGAATTATCTCTAGATTCCGATACAGAAGGCACTAGGATAGGGTCATTTGAAATGCAGGTTATTTATCTTCTTTGCGTCTTACTTCGGATCAGTATGTGTTAGTCGCCACAAGGATGCTTTAACGATATAAAATTAACGAATAAAAATAAAAGAGATTATGTTATTCTCATTTGTCTATTTATATCAGGGGTTCGCAAATACAGGGTAGCGACCCACATTTTTTTACGGTAAATAAAATGATGGTTTGAAACATTTAAACTGGTTTATAGGCGCTAATTACCAAAACCACTCTCGAAAAAAGTACCAATTATTTTGCACAGATAGAGTATATAGGGGGAATTTTCCGGCGATCAAAAGTTGGGGAATCATTGCTAGTGTCAATATTATTCTTAAAATCGATAACTAATTACATGTTTACCAAATGCTTGGTTCGTGAAAAATTTGAAAAAGTAGTTGCGGACGCCTGCTTTACATACCCGTATAAATTAATTACACAAGCAAAAATTCAGTGTTCACTTACCATGTTCGCCTTTCCACGCTTCCCATTCGGACTGGAAAAGTCTGCTTGCGGAGACTGCGGCAAAGCAGACGGTGAGAATCATAAAAATCTTCATTTTTTTTTTGATTTATCGACAAAAAGTATTTAGTAATTTATAAACTGCTGATGCAATGAAAAATTAAAATGAATGGCTTACAAAGTAAACTGAAATGTGAAATGTTAATTTCTCTTTTTTCGTAAGCGGCGTTTATTTACACTTTTAAAAAACGATTCAATTTTATCGCATTTTATAGAAAATAAATTTTGAGGTTTTATGGAACACAAAAAAAATCCGAGTCCACTTTATCTTTATTCCAGGCATAGAAAGACCTCAATTTTGCTTACATAAAATAACAAATTACATTTACTTCAAAATACGATAAAATTTAAAAATATTTAACAGTGTTTTATTGCTATAGATACAATATGTGGCGTTCCCGATACCAGTGTACCAATATGGAGGTAACTAATTTTGTTCGCCTACTTTACATCAAGTTGTATGAACGGACTGAAACCCATGGGCAGGTGGTATATTCACTTGTCTAACACAGACAATCCCCGAACTTGTAATAGAACCAAAAGAGAAAAATTGGAATAAAACTATGGCTAACCCTAACCTGGTGCACATTCTACGGGAGCCCTCAATATGGGGCCTCTAGTCATAAGGCTCAGTGAATACTGTGCTAAAGCTTTTTTCAGAAAGGAAATACCAATAACCTCAAAATGACTTGAGAATACATGTTTAAATCTGATACTATTAGGAAATGTTAAAACTATATTTCTACTTCGTCGTGTGTAACCCCACTAAAATTTAAAAAAAAATCGTAAAAATACATGACTACATTATTCGAAAAACTAGTAAACCCTTAAACTCTGCATTCAATACCCAACACAAAAGCACCGGACATAATTAAAACCCTAAACTATAACTAACGACCTCTTAGACAAAGAGTTGATGCTGTCTCTTTAAAAACTCGGTGTCGCGTCGTGCCATCCCGTATCATATGCAGTTTGATAAGAGAGTCGCTTTGTTTTATTACCGGTGCAAGTCGCGGATCGGTTTGATGCCGTTTTATCGCATTAAGTAAACTATTTGTGCGATGTTGGAACAAACACTATCATGTGACGGGATTTATGTACGCTGTAAGAAAATAACGAAATTTTGAGACGAGTTTTATCGTCATTTGGAACGAAAGAACTGTATGAAATAGTTTGAGTCATTTGCGCGAAGCCTCAAGGTTTATCTCGCTCCCTATACGTCAAAGGGTGGGTCTGCGTCGGTTCAAGACAACAGACCTGCCTACTAGGCCGGGGAATTTATGATTTTAACGTCATTTGGTGCAAAAGTAATGCCTGATCTAATTCGAATCATTGTGGGAAATTGACGTTGCCACAGACTTTCATGTTTTTGAGACGTTAACAAAACTTTATGTTCACATGGGCCGCCAGTCTATTTAGCAAAATATTTGGCCTTTAGTCCAAAAACCTTGCCGCCTCTGTTATAGAGGTATTTTATTACAGTATATAGTGTTAACGCGGCAAGAAAATACCGTCAAATATTTTTCTGAACAGCATTCTTCTGAGCGCAAACGGATAGGATTCACATGAGTACTTGATCCGGTTTGTGCCATTTGCGAGAAATAATATTTGCGCGAATTTTATCACAAATCCCTGTTCATACCTTTATTATTTTTAGGACTGTAAAAGGCCCATACATGCCTGGAATCCACCTTTGAAGAATCAACTTTAAACGCAGAATTTTCGCGCTAATGGATTCATACTGATTTCCTCCAAATCATGTGATATAATTAATATACGCTTTTGAAAACAGCGTAAAGTTATGCCGAATTTTTACGTAAATCAATCTTTGTGTGATTACTGTGTCATCTAAATCACGTGAAAACAAAAAAATGCAAACTCATTTCTCTATTTAAATTCATGCAAAAATGCAGAGACATGCATATTGTAAAGGTCATCCTTACGCCAAGCACATGACAAACGTAATTTTCTAGAGAATCTTATATTTTTATTATAATCCATTTTTACATTTATCTGTGTTTTATATCTGGCCGGGTCTGTTTTATGCAATCCATTTAAATGCCTTTTGCAAACGTTGCAAAATCGTCTATGACGACATAACCGGTGTTAAGCCAAATATCGCTTAGTCATTGTGAATGCAATATTTCAAATTGAATTCTAGAGCTTCGCCTCAAAAGGGCAAAACTTAAAAAATCTGTCTTAGGGAAATAAGTGAAATTTAATTTTATTGAGATTTTTTTTTTAATTTGAATTTTAATATTTTTTATCAAAATACTTTGGTGAATATAGCTTCAAATTATGACTATATATCAGTTTGAAGAGCGCCTATGTTTTTTATATATATTCAGATAAATTTATATCCAAATTTCAACATTGGCCTCTATTACTTGGCACCTCGAGTTATTTTTATGCGCATGGAATGGTCCCTAGGCAGCACTGGCTACGCTATGCAATCATCCCCAAAAGAACGACAATTTACTAAAACGATCCATAGGTCCAACCCGTATCCAATAATCAAACATTATCACGCCCTACATCCGGTTTAACTAGGTAGTTGTCTCAAATAATTCCAAGCTCTTCCTTAATAAAATATACAGCAATTTTTCGGAGCTTGAAACCCTATTTAAACCCTCAAGACTTTTGAAACACACGTTTCGCATTTTACGTGAATTGTATGCAAAGATCTACGGAAGCCGGCAAATTCTGATTCTACCAAATATAGGGTCGTTGATGGCACATTTTCACGCCAATCCAAAGTGCAGCTACTGGTGTCAAAGGTCATCCTAGTTTCGAGTCTAGTCATTCACTGAGATAAGTTGAGTTAAGTAGCGATTATTGAATACAATTGCGGGCGCTCCAGAAGTATGTGTACCAATATGGAGGTAAATATTTTGTTCGCCTACTTTACAACAAGTTGTGTAAAGGGAATGAAATCTATGGGCAGGGGATGTAACATAACTAATATATAACTATCAATAGAGGTTACGCGACGCGATTAATTTTCAATCCTTCCTCAATGTCTTTGTAAACTGTCTTAGGAAGTCTGATTTTGTTCAGACAAAACGGTACAGAAATACATTTGTGTTAGTGTGCAGCAGGACTATTGAATTGCTTAGTATAACTAATATATGATTAAACATTTTACATATTTTATTTATTTTGAATGTTTCATTGTTTCTTTTTTAAATAATGTGAATATGAATCAATAAATTCACCTTTTTATGTTGTATACTTTCTGTTAAGTAGTGTTCTGTCACGATCACAAAGTTTATTTTTATTTGAAGACAGCAATTTTTTTTTGTGCTAGTGCTCCGTGAATTTTTTCCGAGATAATTTGACGCCGCACGACTAAAAAGTTTGGGAACCGCTGCTATAGCCTATAAAATATAGCTAACAATACTTATTTCTTAACAGTCGTCCTGTTTTCTTTATCTAACTGACTCGGCAAAATACCCTATTTGGAAACAAATATCGTGTCGAACAGAGGTTGACTCGCTGTGTTTACCCAATGCATTGATGACATGTTAATTGAGTCCCGTGATTATGAGGGGGCGTATACATGACCCTTATATGACCCCGGAACAAGGAAGCATTGCTCAAATATATGGTCTATAACAGTAGTTCCCAAAGTTGGTTGACTGCGGGCCAAAATTAGAAGCGGAATGATATTTGCGGGCCTGTAGAGTGGAACGCCCGTCAGGGGCCGATACCGGGCCATATTAAATCGTTACGAGGGCCGTAAATAGCCCGCGTGCCGCGGTTTCCACTAGAATCCACTAGTGTATAATGTCCCGCATCGGTACCGGTACTGAAATGCCTCAACTGAGTACGGAGTTTTTTGAAAAGTTGATTGATATTGTGACGGAATGAAACAGTTTTGCTTCTTAATTAAGATTTGAAAAACCAAATTTCAGTAAGACTCGAAAAAAAATGTGAAAAAAAGTTAATTTTATTCCACTTGATAATTTGGCGCCACACGAGCAAAAAGTTTGGGAACCCAATTTTTTGCACTGCATTGTCACTTCGGGATCAAAACTATTTCACGCGCAAACGTGAATTATTGCAGAGTCAGCAATATTTGATTTTCAAACCCTGATCACGTGATGCATGCATGACTTTGCAAGCAAGCGCTGTGATTTGGCCAATCTACTCACTGGTGCGCCCTAAGTGTATGTAGCGTGTATAAATGGTATTCGTTCACGGTCGCCATTCATGCTTTATTAAGAATCCTTGATCATATCTTGAATGTCGTGAAACAGTTATATGAGAGGTTTTAATGTACCAGTCAACGACACCCCCAAGTTTTGATACTCAGGTGTCGAGTGTCGCAGTTGGAGTTATCGTGTTCGCGCGAATTGCTTCAGTCGGTATTTGTTGACGTATAATGCACGGTAATTCTATACTGTGGTCACCCATAACTTATCTCAGAGATGAGCTAGCATTCTTTATTTCTGAGATAGTGCACATATCTCTTGGATTTTCCGTGTTGCTCGTAACTCTGCTTGAAGAAGAGCTATCTTTACTTCTAAGTGAGTGCGGCATAACTTGCTTTGATCTAATACTTTATAAAAACGTAACACTGAATCAAGAATAGTAATCAGAAAATAAAATTTCGCCCACCTGGAAGGTCAAAAGTTGAAGTCGGTTCGCGCTACGGCTCTATAGCGCTTTGTTCACGCGGTATTTGCGATTTTGAAATGTTAAAAATTTGTAACTTTCTTTGTTGTACTTGGACAGGTCAACGGCCTCAGCGTGCGTTCCATCGGAGGTCGAAGAATCACATGAATTAGTCTTGTGACAAAATAATGCAAGGTTGTTTGTTTACTCATTGCACATTGTGACGCCATACTAAACAGAAGTTAATATTAAATGGCTTGTTATTTTTTAAATCACATGATGTGCATTATGCAGTTTTAATAAAATCAAGTTAATCATTTATGACGAAACTAAGGTCGTGCTGTATAATGCATTGCATTTTTCGCTGTTAGTAAAGTCGTATTTTTTCCATGATAAAAATAAATACATGCAAAATGTGAAAATAAAATCAAGAAGGGCAGTTCAGGGTAAAGAGGTGACGCAAAACGAACAAACTGATTGTCAGACATCCTGAATGAAATTAATAAAATCCGCCTGATGATATTGATATAAAATACTTGTAGATCAGGTAGGAAATATTCCTGCCGATTTCAGGTAATGGGAGCGCAAGTTACCTTTCTGCCTTCCTCTTAGTATTTGTACCAGGTAAGGTCACAATTTGGTTCCGATTTTTCCTATTTTAGTTCTATTACTAGTCCGGGGACTGTCTGTGTTAGCCAAGTGAATATACCCCCTGCCCATAAGTTTCAGTTCCTTTACACAACTTGATGTAGAATAGGCGAACAAAATTAGTTACCTCCATATAGGTACACACACTACTGGAGCGCCGCAATTTGCAGTCGTGGGCTTTAGTATCCAGAAGTCAGAACAAGTCCAACGCTGCGTTTTTGTAATAGAGTGTGAGTCCCTCTAGTGGATGTTCATCTAAAATCTGAGCAGTGGTTCCCAACCTCGCAGAAGCTTTTAGCACTGATGACAGATTCCACATCCCATTATGTTCAAACAATTCATGCTCAACAAACTGAAACACACTATGAAACAAGAGAGCTATGCTCAAATATATGGACACGTAGCGCCACCCAATGGCAATAATTTTGATGACGTCATAGCAAAAAAAAAAAAAATAATAGCCTTCTGGAGAAAAATTTTATCTTTAACCACTGAAAATTTCAAAGCAATTGGTCCAGTATTCGAAGAGAAAAGCGATTTTTTAAAAATGATGGAGACAAATAACAATAACAATAACAACATAATATTGAAACGATCGTTATGTCCACTAAACGTGTTAAATAACATTATCATGCAATGGAACTAGGAAGAACGGGAGGTTTTCTTGTTAAAGTAAAATCAGTTTTGCGTCTGGCATGGTGGCCCACCTCCAACTGCACTAGGCGCCTCCTTGGTCGGCCACGGGCCCCGGTTTGGAACCACTGATCTATAGGTAGGCGAACGATTATAAAAGAAATAATAAAACATAATATATTTTTTATTTATTTAAGTGAATTGCCAGTTTTTTTATTGCATTTGTAAATATCTGTAAAATGTAAACTGCGCCTACTAGTGGATTGTACCAATACTGATAAAATGTAGTCCAATCATGCGTAACATATAACCTTTGACACCATCATCATATGACTCTCTCTTATCGATAAGCTGTTTGCAATTTGCTCACATCAAATCACAATACGACCTGCACTTTAGTACGAAAAAACGGCTGTAAATTTTACAAAAATTTATATGATATTCACATGGACGTCTTGACATAATTTAAAGTCATTTCAGTTGTATTTATAGTGTTATTTTGATTAGCAGATTTCAAAGCCCGTTAAGTTCAAACAATTTATGCTCAACAAAGTGAAAACACCCTGTAAAATAACTTTATCAAGCAATATAACTTGGAACAATGGGCAATTTATTTGGAAAAGGAAAAGTAAAATCAATCATCTTTGCGCCCGGCGTGGTGGCCTCCCTAACTGGTCTGGGGTCCTTTTGTTGAGCAGTGGAGCACTAGCTGCTATGTGTGGAATGAGATTTATACTTGAAATATGAAGTGCATTGTAAAAGTTACATACAAATTTCTGTAAGCAAGCTCTATTATTAACAGTATGTAAACAACATCGCGTCGACTGTGTTACAATTGCGTCTACAAATACTGAGCAGATTTCAGTGTAATTTACTAATTAGGTTCATGATTATACAATTTGATAAAGTTTAGGGATTAAGAGTAACAAAAGTGCCATCGGAAAATTGTCTATCTAATAAACTAGAAAAAATACAGTGTTGTGGGATTTTTATTATGGCAGAATAAATGTATAGTCCACCTATATTGTCTGTGGCGTATTCGTGTAGCGGGCACGATAATCCTTTAATGGTGCTCCCGAAGTATGCGAATCAAGATGGCGCCCCCCCTTTAATTTAGTACAGCGGTTCTCAAACGGTGGAGAGCGCTTGTTGTAGTAGGTATTTTTGGGGGGATCGTAAGACTTGACGAATTCTAAAAAGAGGCGAGGCTCAAAAAGCCTGATAATACTTTAATTTATTAAATCAATGAGTCCGTAAGATAAATGGCAAAGTAGAAAAATTCATTTTGGGACATTGCATTAATTTATAATTCTGACAGAATATTGAACGATAGATCTTTATAAATACCAATTGATTAGATATGAGAATCCTTGTTGTTGTTGCTGTATATTTTGTTGTCTGCTGTCTGTCAGTCTCTGCAAACAGACTTTTCCAGTCGGAGTGGGAAGCGTGGAAGACAGAACATGGTAAGTGAACACTGATTATTTTTGCATGGGATTATTTTGTAAAAGTCAGCAGAAAAAATTGAATGCAAAATTAATACGATAATGACGCCATTCGACCTTGAGTAAATGAATTCGTCTTTTACGTCATCATCGAAATATTTGGTATGACGTCATCAACAATTTTCGGTATGGCGTCATCATAACTTTGGCTACAGAGGAATCGTATTTTAAAGTTCGATTAGGAATAAAAATTCTGCAAAAGCATTAAAATAATGACGTCAAATGTATACTGACGTCATGACATTTTTCTATGACGTCATCAATATTTTTTCTACAGGAAAATCGTACTCTGTAGCCCACGTGAGAATCAAAGTATTACAAGAATTAATAGACTACTGACGTCATCAACAATTTTTATATGACGTCATCAATATTTTCGTTACAGAGAAATCGTACTCGTACGAAGAAGAAAACAAAAGGCAATATATCTGGGAAAAGAATTTGAAGAAGGTTGTTGATCATAACATGGAAGCAGATGATGGAATCCATACCTTCAGACTTGGAATGAATCAGTTCGCTGATATGGTGAGTTCGAATTCGGTTCTAATTATCGAACAAAATAGAATATAGAATATATATTAGTTCGCTCATATGGTGAGTTCGAATTCGGTTGAAATAATCGAACAAAATAGAATATAGAATATATAACAGTTCGCTGATATGGTGAGATACGATCAAATTTTTATATATGACGCTATTTACGTCTCCCGCTCCGAACAAGTCCCTGTACAAGCAATTACTGATATTTAACGATATGTAAGGAGCTACTATCTCTCTGGTTCGGCATTGCTTACCCAGTCTAAAACACCCTGGGTGAAACATGCGTTTCTAACCCGAGATTTTTACCCTTTGATGCCAACAAAGCCAAGTCAAACTTTTCAAACACTGGGACCCCGCGCCCATTAGGTGATTTCCCTATACCCCTTCTATAGGGGTGCATACATCCACACCCCCTAAAATTTCGAACACCACTAAATAGCTGTTAGACAACTTTTCTGTTTTTCTATCGACCACCCTGTAAATTAGTTAATCGGTGTTAATTAAACTTTAGGACGAAGATGAACAACGAAGTTTTATTTCTGGCCACGTGACTTATTCAACCAATCAGGGCGAAGTGTGCAAAATCGTAAACATCACAAACGAAATAATTGACCAATCAGAAGACGATTCTGTCGACTGGCGAACTAAAGGATTTGTGACATCTGTCAAGAATGGAGGGCCATGCGGAGGGTCGTGGGCTAATAGTGTGGTAAGTATCGTATTTTACCTAACATAAGGTGCACTTTAAGTACGTTTTTTGCTCAAAAAATTGATCATGCGCTTTATAGGAAGGTGTGCATAATGTATGGGTCCAGTTGCGCTTTATGCTGTTTTGGAGCTTTGTACGATAGCCTGTTACCTCTTAAAAACAGCTGCGTCTTATAGCATTTTTTTCATAAGATAACAAGACGAAGAAGAAGAATAACAAAACGATCCATAGGTCCACTTCGTGTTCAAAAATATGATCGGCACAATGTGATAAGTAACAAGAGAGCTATGCTCAAATATATGGACACGTATGGACACCCAATGGCAATAATTTTGATGATGTCATAGCGAAAAAAAAAGTAATAGCCTTCTGGAGAAAAATTTTATCTTTAACTACTGAAAATTTCAAAGCAATTGGTCCAGTATTCGAAGAGAAAAGCGATTTTTTAAAAATGGAGACGGAGACAAATAACAATAACAATAACAACATAATATTGAAACGATCGTTATGTCCACTAAACGTGTCCAATAAAAGTTGTGAAGCATTGAATATGAGGCATGAGCGTAGCCAAGGGAAAGGGGGGAAATGAAACGCCCTCTTTTGAAATTTACAAAAAGAGAAAGCAATCTTCCGTATCATACATAACAATTTTTCGTTGCTTGAAACGCTATTTGGACACTCAAAACTCTTGAAAACCAACCCCGGATCCGCTAGCTGATTTCCAACTACAGTTGAAATCTCAGAAACCCACCTTTGAAAATTCCTGGTTACGTCTCTGCTAAGAGGTAATTAAGCATTGTATCTTGCCAATTGTGAAACGGTAGTGTGATATCTAATAAATTCGGTCCGAAAAAGGTTCCACGCACACTTTTGCTTTTTGTTGAGAGCAAATAAGTTTGAAGACGAATTTAGATTGGATTCCTAACCTTGCCCTCAGTTTATTTTTTCGCGTACCGAAATTACACATTGTGGATGCAGAATTAAGGGCGCTCCAGAAGTGTGAGTACCAATATGGAGGTAACTAATTTTGTTACACTTTACATCAAGTCGTGTGAAGAGACTGAAACCTATGAGCAGGAGGTATATTCACTTGGCTAACACAGACAAACCCCGAACTCGTAATAGAACTAAAATAAGGAAAATAGGATTAAAATTATGACTTGACCCTGACCTGGAACACATATTACGAAAGCACGAATTAATAGAGATAAAAATTACATTTCAATGTGAGGAGAGATTATAAAGGAGTCTAACATTGAATCATATAAGGTAACATAATAAAATCATTTTTCCAGACAGGCACACTGGAAACTCAACATTTCAAAGCGACAGGAAAATTCGTGGGATTAAGCGACCAGAATTTAGTTGACTGCATAACTTATGGGTGCGAGAATGGCACAGTCGAACAAGCCTACGAATATATTATAAGGAATAAAGGAATTGACTCGGAGGAGACTTACCCTTCAACGGGATTGGTAAGTTGGAGCGATTTTATGGTATTCCACCATTTTGTTACTTCATTTTATGAAAGTTTATGACTTTTATGATTGGTGTTTAGAGTTATAGGGAAGTGAGTCAATGCAATTTTATTATATTGTTTTAAAAGTCTTTTTATGCTTTGCTAAGACCTAAAAGGCGGAAGAAGGGAGGTGGGGGGCTAACTTTTCTGAGAACTGAGTCTCTTTTACTTCGGATTGAGTGCCTGTAACTTTGCTCAGAAGTGAGTCTTCTTTACTTCTAACTGAGTGCTAGTTACTTTGCTCAGAGTTAAGTCTTCTTTACCTTTGAGTAAGTGCCGTTAACTTTGCCCAGATGGGAGTCTTCTTTACGTTTGAGTAAGTGCCGTTAACTTTATTCAGAGATGAGTCTCTTATAAGTCTGAATGAGTGTTTCTAGCAAATCTTCTTCAAAAATCCATTTTTAGCCTTTGGGATGTCAATTCAAACGATCCGGCGTTGCCGCAACAATATCTGGGTGCGTCAGATTACCCAGTGGGGACGAAGCAACGTTACAAAGAGCTGTGAAAGAGATTGGGCCGATATCTGTTTTAATTGACAACAGCCCACATTCATTCGTGATGTATCAGTCAGGTGCGTGCTGGCAGAATTGTTTACATTTGATTCTACGCGGAATTAATTAGTAGTGTTGCTGTGTAACTCCGATAAGAGCCTGATAAGACGGCTAACCATGTGGCGAAACATGGCCTCTCGTCCGGTTACCAGTCCAGGTCGAGTATGTGTTTAGTCAGCCAGTTATTTGTTTTCGGAAGCATGGACTTGACGGTGGAGGAAGCCGTAACCGACCAGCGGTTCGTGAAACACCCTACGGCGGCGAGGAGTCCAGCAATCCTCTCGCACATGATCATCCCCGCATGGGATTTGAACCTGCGAACCCAAGAAAGGTAATCAGAGATGCGGTGGCGAGCGTATTCCTAACGCTTAGCACGATGCGCCACACCGCCGAGCCAAGTTAATCACTGCTTAAATACCCACTGGTCACAAAAGTAGTCAGGGAGGCTTGAGGAGCCGTGCAATTTTGCGGCATTTGAAGTAAGCCATGAATTTTTACGCTTTTTTCGAACCAATATACTCTATTCTTGAACTATTTACTGTATATCGGACGTCTCATGGCTTGCTATTAATAATCACTTTTCCAAATGAACCAACCGAGATAGGTGAAATGCGCGCTTATATGCCGTGGATAACTTCGACAGCGAATTAAGTCTGTAAGTCTTTTATTTCTTATCTCTTATCTAATATCTGGCTTTGTTTGGAGCAAAAGGCACGAGTGAGTCTTATTACGACATTATACCAAGAAAATGAGCATTGCTTTCTTATGTGTCCGAAAAATTCGCCTCAGAAAATTTCGCCGCATAGGGAAAATCGTCGCAATAGTATTTTTCTGTAAAACAAGTATTCGTGATAAGAACAGTAAGGTTTATGGGGTTAGGGTATGCTCTCTTTTTTAGATAAAAAGGTACTTAAAAAACATAACCTATCAGAAATACTTGTTTTACAGCAAATTGCTCTTGCGGCGATTTTTCATGCGGCGATTTTTCCGGTGCGGCGAAATTTCCTGCGGTGAATTTTCCTAGAACCGCTTTTTTTTTTCTTGTAGGAGTCTACTACAGCACTGAATGTAGTGAAACAAACCTCAACCACGCTATGTTGATCGTTGGATATGGAACAACGGATTCGGGAGAGGAGTATTGGATTGCTAGGAATAAGTGAGCTTATATTTGTAGACGCGTGTGTATTGTTTTGACTCTGAAAAAATGTAGTTATTTCAGTTACACACTTCCTACTCTTGATAAGATGCTAGGCAGTTTTCAACCTTATTTCTTCCGCCAACAAAATTAGTTACTCCCGCATTATGTGTACCAGGTTAGGATTAGGCCATAATTTCATTCATTTCATTCCGATTTTCCCTATTTTAGTTCCGTTACGAGTCCGGGGACTGTCTGTGTTGGCCAAGTGAATATACCCCCTGCTTATAGGTTTTAGCGCCTTTACACAACTTGATATAAAGTAGGCGAACGAAATTGGTACACATACTACTGGAGCGCCCAAAATCTTTAACTATTAGGCGAACGCGCACACTTAACTCAATTATGAATTTCAACTTTTCAAATTGATTGTTTCATCACAGCTGGGGAGAAGTGTGGGGAATGAAAGGCTACATGATGATGTCACGGAACAGAGGAAATAACTGTGGAATCGCCAACAGTGCAACTTACCCTTTGACCCCTTAATATAAGGAAGCTGGAATTGTACACAAAACTTCCGCATTTTAATTCTTTGTTATTGTGGGAATTTTTTTTCCTTGAATGATACGAACTACTTTATAAATTTATAATATACACTTGTTGAATAGAATATTGAAAATGACAAAGTCGATAAGTCAATCCTATGATATAAATACAGAAGAAATTATTGCTGTGGGACCTTTTTTTATTAAGCTTTATATGACTCTGAAATATCATAAAGAGATTGAAAAAAAAGCATGTAAATATTAAAGTATCTTACTTGGAATAAAAAGAGAGCAATGATCAAATATATAGACACGAATATTGAATATCTAAAACGGACATCGCAATGTCAGCAGAATAACAGACAAGTGTTAAAAAATGTAGTGTATGGTTCAAAATATACCGAATGTTATGTAAAGGTGTGCCGTTATTCTGGGGTCGTGTCGGTGTTACATAAGCAAAAGTTGAAAACAATAAGCCTCGTGCCAAAACTAAATTTGGTTTTAGTATGGTTGTGGCAGCATCAGGCGGGCCAGATTTGTCCCGCGGATCGTATAGTTTGCCCATGTCAGTTTAGATTATATTGAAACTTTTTGAGGGAAATGATTCTTGGGAAATTTTGTTTAAACCATAGCTCCACAACATGGATTTTCCGCCTTTGCCTATAGTCATCGTCGTTATGTTTATGTTCTCATATATATTAATGAGTCACAAAGCACTTTACAAAACAAGGCTTGGCAATATTCGAATGATATTTTACTGTTATGCAGCTAGCCAACCATGCATATCAAATAACATTTGACACCAAACATCATATGACTCGCGTGCTATTGATTGTTTGCAATTAGCGCGTGATAAAGTCTCGCTATAAAACAAACACAGAAAAATTAACCAACAAATTCAAAGTATTCTCAAAGTACCTTTACCATCCCAATATTGTTATGAAGTCAATATTCAATGTATCTTAACCAGATTTGTTTTAATTTAATTAATCAGTGTTTATTTGAGTTTTTACTTTCACTTTATTTACACCTTTAAGGGCAAACTATATAAGGTATCGAAAAAATCAGTTTGAAATTTGAAAAATTTTGGGACTTTATGAACGCTGTGTAAATATTGGTACTTTTGTCAGTGTAATATATGTCAAGAGGAATAGGCGAAGAGAATTATGAGATATTAAAAGAGAACCATTATCTTGTTAAGTTCAAGACGCGGATTTGACTTCAATTGAGGCTCTAGAACAGAAGTTCCCAAATCAGGGGTCGCGACCCCAAATTGGGTCGGAGTGATAAGTAGGTAGGGTCGCAAACAGGTCATGGGGTCGCTGAGGTATGGTAGAGAATGAATGTACAAATCATCTAAGATTCGACAAACTATGTTAAATGTAGCAGTTTGTACCATGGCTTACTGTAAAACAGACTCATAAACATCGCTCTTTGCTCATGATATAGAAAATGTAGGTGCTTATTGTGACATCACTGTTTGGTTTTAGCTTATTTTACTTAATACAATCAAATGACCAAACTTAAAACTCCAGTGAACGAAGCTCTAAAGTTTCATAAACAATCTATATATATGTTGACCTGGGGTCGCACTGGACACTTGAAAGTTGCCCTCGGGGTTGTTCTGAAAAAATCTTGGGAACGCCTGCTGTAGAATTACTTTCAGATTCCATTGAACGACGCCGTTTTTTCTAGCAATTTGTAAATATTGCTTATCCTGAAGCGTTGCTTACGATTGTTATCATAAGGTTTTAGCAATGTGTACAGGTTACCGGTGAAGATGTGACTAGCGACTTTGCAGCAAGTAAATTATGTTTTTATAGACTGGAGTTGTGTTTTTTTAGCATGCATATGAAAACAAATAACTGGCTAGCTAATCTAATACCCGACATGGACTGGTAACAGGACGTCGTGGGTGGTCATATGATTAAGCCGTCTTTTAATTGCCGATTTAGCAATGTGTACTGGTTATCGACGAAGGTGTAACTAGCGGCTTCGCAGTAGGTTATTGGACACGTTTAGTGAACATAACGATCGTTTCAATATTATGTTGTTATTGTTATTTGTCTCCATCATTTTGAAAAAAAACCTTTCTTTTCGAATACTGGACCAATTGCTTTGAAATTTTCAGTAGTTGAAGATAAAATTTTTCTCCAGAAGGCTATTACTATTTTCGCTATGACGTCATTAAAATTATTGCCATTGGGTGCCCTACGTGTCCATATATTTGAGCATAGCTCTCTTGTTTAAATATAATGAGAGCAATAGTTGGTGCGTATGAATATTTTGAAACGTAGGATTTCTAGGCAAATTGTACTTGATACTGTAGCCAGAATATATAAAACTTTAGGCAAGTGATTGGTGCAGACTTCTGAGGTATAGTGAAGTAAACGCCGTAACTGGTTAAATAACACACAGCATTCATTTTCACACGACATTTGTGTCCAACTTTTGAACCTCAGATTCAAGGCAAATGAGCTATGTTAGGTTCGATTTTTGTCGGACCTTTCGAACTTAACCTAAAACAAAATGAGAAAAATAGTGGTGGACAATGACCATTTTTTCTTATAAATACCTCCTTGAAATAAGAGATTTTTGTCCTGTTGTTGCACTCATTTTCTAATCTATTTTATTCTCCCACCTTCCTATATATTATGATAAAGAAAATCGTGGAAAACAAAGAAGATGTGTGCCAATAATTGGACAGAGCAGGGGTGGGCAACCCAAGTTTGGCACGCGAGCCCATTTATTCGGCACGCGAACGAGGCCTCGAAAACGAGATCGTTCTCCTTCAGATAAAAAGTTTCAAGACTCTGAAATATCTGATGAAACTCGGTGTTCGTTTATTTATTATACAGTATATCGTTGGTTAACAATCCGTTATTTATTTAAACTCTTTTTGACCTTTCATGACATAAGGCTACAAAAAATACACTTTATGATGTAACAACTGAGTTAGTTGTCGAAAAATTTTGTCGAAAAGAGCCATCATTCATTTGACTGCATTATCACGTAATATAGTACGTCTGTGACAGCTTTTTTCATCATTTCTGCTTGTTTTATGAAGTTGTACAGCGAATGTAGGTTAGAGTTCTTGCTAACTTGTCGTTATAAAATGATGATGAAAGAAATATAAGTGGCATCAGATGCGTAAAAGGTTTAATAAATTTTGATTACAGCAGTATTTTAGTACATCCGTGTTTTACAGTAAAGGCACTTCACCTATACTTTTAAGAATGGCAGCAGTCTGTTCTCAAAAATTTTGGTCGGCACGCGGAAGAATTTTTTCATTGAATTTAGCCAATTTCGGCACGCGAGCCGAAAAAGGTTGCCCACCCCTGGGATAGAGCCTGTATTCCCTGTTAACATTATTGACTATTTCATTGTATCTTATACTTAATAGGCAAGCCTGATTATGAGAGTTATATTCATATTAATTATCAGCATAACTGCAGTTTATGCAAACACAATTTTACAGTCGGAATGGGAAACTTGGAAATCTGAACATGGTGAGTGAACACTGAATATTATAGTGTGTAATTAAATTTATTTAATGTCTTTGTAATTAAAATATGAACATAGAAGGGGAACTTCAAATGCAGTAGTGATGAATTGAATTACCTATTGGCAATAGAAAATGCAATATCTCTTTTATTATTGTTGCAGTTAAAATATTCAAATTACAGGTAAAATGACGCCATAAGTCACGTGGCACATGACGTAATCAAAGAATAGTCAATACACCAGATTGACTTACAATTAAAGACTATATGAATATAACTTCATATATTTTAAATGAAAATTCTATTGCAAATACGTATGCGCATTCATTACGTAATATGTATATTGACGTCATCAATCATCTTCGTTTGGCGTCATCAAGAAAAAATTAATCGTTCCGTCATCAACAAATCTCGTTATGGCGTCATCGAAAAATTTTCGTCAGACGTCATTAACAAATCTCGTTATGACGTCATCAACATTTTCGCTACAGGGAAATCGTACTCGTACGAAGAAGAAAACAAAAGGCAATATATCTGGGAAAAGAATTTGAAGAAAGTTGTTGATCATAACATGGAAGCAGATAATGGAATCCACACCTTCAGACTTGGAATGAATCAGTTCGCTGATATGGTGAGTTCGAATTCGGTTCGAATATGCAATAAAATAGAATATAGAATATATAACAGTTTGCTGATATTGTGAGATTCGATCGAAGTCCGGTTAAATACCATGCAAGTTTCACTGATATTTAGAAAAATGTCATTTTTTTCAGTGTTTTTAATATTTCCTCCAGAGCGGTGCAGTCGGAGTCCAAGTTTCCGTGCTTTTATTGATATTGGAGTCAAAGCCGTTGTCAAAATTGGAGTTTCCGGATTTTAAAAATTCTGCCCTTGACTCCGCAGCTCCGAGTAAATCTAATTTTGATAACGAAAACTTTCGTCCTATTCAAGTCTTCTTTAATAGAATGTTAAGAACACTTAGTAAATCTAATACTTTTTGAGTTCAGCAGGAAATTTTGACTCCGACGTGTTTAAAACATGTTACTTTCCGATTCCACAACCCTGCCTATTATTATAAATGTACAGGTGAAATTTTTTTTTTAATTTTAGGATGAAGAAGAATGGCGAATTCTCGTTTCGAGTCACGTGACTAAATTAACCAATCAAGGCGAATTATGCAAAATCGTAAACAACACGAACGAAATAATTGACCAATCAGAAGACGATTCCGTCGACTGGCGAACGAAAGGATTTGTGACTCCTGTCAGGAATGGAGGGACTTGTGGAGCATCCTGGGCTAACAGTGTGGTAAGATATGCACCGTCGTCACTTTAGGCCAGTGGTTCTCAACCTTTTTACTTATCGATTTTAATCGGTAAGTATGTTGATAGGTATTTGTCTGTTTGTCTGTCTGTTAGATGCACGCGATATCTCACGAAAGCGAGATTTGATCTGCTGCAGATTTTGCATGTGCATTCATCCTATCTCGTACCAGAAGCCTATTGATTTTGGGCGAATTATGTCGTATAATTAGTGAGTTATTAATTAATTAATGATGGGACACAAGGTGTCACTATGGAGTATGAGCGCTGTTTTGGGTGATCCCCTAACTTTCGATCGATAAGTCTTCGGTCTCTGACTGATATTCTCGTTTATTGCATTCCTGCATTTGCCTTTTTTGAAAACATTTACATTCTCTTTACTGTGCGTAAAATCTGCTTTTCAATTTTTCGTTAGGTACTAGTTGCCGATACGCGTAAATCCTACAACGCCCAACTGCCATTTATGAGTTTCAAATGTAATTGGTATGCATTACAAAAAGAGAGCGTTTCTCTCTTGGTTTGCCATATGATGATTAGACGTTTTATCGGATTTTCTTCAGCCCGTGATAAATATGTAGATCTTAATATATCTATGAGTAAAGTTGCGGGCGAGCACTGAAGCAAAGAGATAGGCTACTGATACTTTACGGAATTTTGGCAAAGTATTACAGAAAGTACCTGGTTTATAGGTAAACGATAGTAAACTATATATAGCAGTGGTTCTCAACCTTTTATGACTCGTGGCCCCCTTTCAGAGGCTTTTAGCACTCATGGCCCCCACTTTGATATTCCAGAGGTATTAATAGGGTTATTTTCATTGATAGATTCCAAATCCCATTATGTTAAAACAATTTGCACAAAAGGGAGCGAAAACAAACGCGAAATAACCTTGTTGAGCAGCAAACTAGGAAAAACTGTGAGATTTCTTTTAAAGTGAAAAGTAAATTCAGATTTCAGCCCATTCTTGTGGCCCCCCTCCAACTCCTCTGTGGCCCCCTTAAGGGACCGAGGGCCCCCGGTTGAGAACCGCAGATATATAGGGTGTCCATACAGTCTTAAAATTTCTTTAAATTGCAAAGGAAGTTTATCGATACCATATTGTTTTGGCCCTCACGGATGTATTAAATGAAGTTAAAAATACTTGAACAATTACTGATTAAAAACAACAAACCTGGTAAAGATATATTGAGAACTGACTTCATAACGAAATTGAAATTGTGACTTCATGGATACCCTGAAGAATTGAGCATTGCTCTCTTATTTTTCTAGACGGGAACACTAGAAGGCCAACACTTCAAAAATACGGGAATGCTTGTCTTACTGAGTGAGCAAAACCTAATTGACTGTACATCGAGCGGTTGCAGAGGAGGAACTGTCGAACAAGCTTATGCTTATATTATAAACAACAAAGGCATCGACTCGGAGGCGTCGTACCCGTCTACGGGAATGGTAAGTGGTAGCTTTGTATCAGTGGTTCCCTAACCAATTTATACCGGTATCTTAACTACACGTACCGGTACCGGCATCGGTCCCTTACGGGCGCTCCCCCTCCCGACCTGCGAATATCCTTCCGCTTCTAGTCCCCCCCCCCCCCCCCCCCCCCGGTCAATCAACTTTGGGGGCGACTGCTTAAATTATCTTTAATTATGCCTCGTTTATTTCATCGATTGGCGTGCCGTGATAAGCGTCATGGGCGAGCTTGCCATGACACCCCTAATTAACCTAATTCAAAAAGTCCGCAGAATCGCTACAAATAATTTTTGCAATAATAATTCGAGGCCACAGGAAGTTTCGAAAGAACTGAAAGTAATAGCGAAAAAAGCAATTTAGCCACTGAAAATTCTAAGCAAATTGGTCTAATCAATGAGAAAAGCGATTTTTTGTGACAAGAAGACAAATACCAACAAGAACAACAACAACATAATAACAAAACGATTTATATGTACATTTTGTTTCCGATAAGATATTCTCTTAAACGGGCGTTAACTTTGTGATTGCAAACTTTCAGCCTGGAGAATGTCATTTCACTCCTTCTGGAATAGGAGCAACAATGTCCGGGTGCGTTGAATTACCTAATGGAGATGAAGCAACGTTGCAAAGAGCTGTGAAGGAGATTGGACCGATATCCGTTGTAGTTGACGCAAGCCAGCCATCGTTTCAACTGTATAAGTCAGGTGGGCCCAGTACAACCCTCTCCATAGAGAGATCCCCCCTCCTCTCCAAAATAATCTTTAAACTCTCGCTATTTTTCTTAAAATGTGACACCGCACTTTAATTTACTGACATGAACATAATCATTTTTGAATGTCCAGAAAGTGGCGCATATACCAGGAAACATGGGTAGTCAAATACATAACATATTTTTATAAGTTATAACTCGTTTTTTACCACCCTCTAAATTTAAATTTGTAAGCACTGCCGGACATGTCCAGTGGCGTATCGACATAAAATGGCGTCATTGGGAAAGTTTCAATATGCGCCCTCTTGAATGTTAGTCGACAATTTTTCTTAATCATTGTTGTTGAAAGTTGTATGTTATTTGGGTAAAAAATACGAGTTTTATTTATTTCCACTTTTTAATTAGTTTATTGAAACATTTCACGATTAAATTCTGTCTTAAATTTTAATCATCGGCGTTTCTGTTTCCAGGGGTCTACTACAGTACAGAATGCAGTTCTACAAAACTCGATCACGCTATGTTGATCGTTGGATACGGAACTATGGATTCACATGATTACTGGATTGTTCGAAATAAGTGAGTATAACGATGCCTAGCTTGGTACCTCTGTAGTATGCGAACCAACATGGCGGACACCGGAACGTAGTATGTGTACCAGGCAGTATGTTCCCCAGCTTTTCCATTTAGTGGAGGTGTTTTGAAATTTAGGGGGTGGTAAATAATTTGCTATTTGAGATAAAACTGGGCTATTTGTATTCTTAAAAAAATGGTATGTATTTAAGAAACGATGTACAAGAGGGCCCCCAAGTTGATTGACGGCGAGCCAAAATCCACAGCAGAATAAAATTGTAGGGCCAGAAAAGGGCAGCGAGGAAAAGTGCAGGACGGCACGGCTGGGGTTCAGGGCGCGCTTAAGCGCCCTGAGAAAATTTCGAGAAATAGGCTTGATTTTAGATACACCTAGCATCGCAGTTTGTTATGTAATGAAATCAATAATTATAATATTTAGCTGATAGAACTCCCGGGAAATAGATAACAAGCACGGCTTTCAACCGTAAATATATACTACTAGGTTTCAACAAGTAATTTGCAACTGATAGTGGCTAATGAAGTTACTAGCTCATCTGGCATTGTATGAATGGCTACTTATGGCTTGTTTTGTTACACATTTCACATTTTTTTGAACATGTTTGTTTGACTTTTGTATGAATTATGCAATGAATTAAATTTTGAAATACGCGCGTCAACTGATCATAATGGCGCATAATGTTGTATTCCTTCAGAACTGAAATATTTTGTTGGTAAGAAGACAAATCGCTGAAATTTGATTCTTTTCAATAAACGCTGTCATTCATCTAAAAAACGTCTGTTTTCGGTGCCTAGTTTTCGTTTTGTGACATTATTAAGCTTTCTTAATATACGGCTGATATTTAAAAAAATGCAGTGTGTAATCCTAATACTAATACGTATACATAAGATACCGGTATAATTCAATTGTTACGAAATAAACGTGCTTAAACGTGTTCACCCCTTATAGGGGGGTGTAGGGAAATCACTGGTACCAGGTTAGAGTTAGGCCATAATTTCAGGTACTAATACCACGGGAGTCACTTGGCTAGTCCACGAACTCGTAATAGAAGTAAAATAAGTAAAATTGGTAGGGTCTATGTCGTGTCGGCCGTTGATTGGTCGCGTGGCATGTTGGCTACGATATGATATTTGGTTCCCATATTTAGTCACTCTATTTTCAACCTCCGGACCGCAAACAACTTGATCGCAACAAGCAAGCATTATGCCTTATCATGTGTTAGGTTGAAAAAATTAAAAATATATATATTACACAATCAAGTTTTGACACGTGTTAACTCTAGTCTTGGAAGCCAACAGTTTTAGGAAAGCGCAGTTTCGGCACGTCAGGAGAGTCATAGGGAAATAATATCACGCACCGTACATGAGTTGTTTTTTATATAATCTGGCGAATTTTTGTCATTTTTATGGTCCGAAAATTTGAAATAGCTTGTTCGACTAGTTGCGGAGAAAAGCGATTTTTTTTTTACCTGACAACAACAATTTGACAAAAAGGAGCTTTCGTTAAATCATAGTCTAACTTTTTCCAATGAAATAAGATATAAATTACAACTGTTGTTGCTATAAGTCAGGGCTTCCTAAAAATATTTAAGCTCGCGACCCCTTCCAATATATTACCTTTTTCCGCAGCCCCCCGTTAAGTCAGAATTGTTATGGCGCTGCTTCTCGGGTCGCACGATGAAAGTCGGCAATGTTAGGTAGTCTCTGATCCTATGTGTTCTCTCGAAATCGTGAGATTTATGTTTTATACAGTTTTAATAAATGGTTTTGAGCCCTCTTTCCAAACGTCGCCCATGGCACGTCCATCGCTTCCATACCCGTCTAGATACACTGAGCTTGTGAGCCAATCAATTTCATACAACATTAATATTTTCTCATTTTTTTTACAGCTGGGGAGCTGAGTGGGGAATGAAAGGCTACATTCTGATGTCACGGAACAGAAGAAATAACTGTGGAATCGCAAGCAGTGCAACTTACCCTTTGACCCCTTAATATAAGGAAACTGGAATTGTACATAAAACTTCCGCAATTTAATTCTTACTCATTGTGGAACGATTTTAAGCAAATGATATTAATAACTTTATAAATTTCTAATATACATTACTGTTTAATGACCTGTACCAGCGTATGATTTTAAAAACATACAGAAAACAGAATAGAATATATATCGAGGATTGAAGTCGACAAGTCAGCCCTATGTAGGGCTCCAGAATCGGTACTCCCGTAGTATGTGTACCAGGTTAGGGTTAGGCCATAATTTAATTCCAATTTCGCTTATTTTAGTTCCATTACGAGTTCAAGGACTGTCTGTGCCAAGTGATTATACCCCTCCGCTTCAGTTCTTTTACACAACTTGATGTAAAGTAGGCGAACAAAATTAGTTACTTCCATATTGGTACAAATACTTCTGGAGCGCCCCAGAATCAGTGCCGGTAAATGTAAATCCGCCTTAACATTGTCTAATCAGTAAGATAGCACGATGTAACGATTGAAATTTTGGCGGCCGCCGAGACAGATCAGACATTAACGCTCTTTTTAGTCGTTATTGCAGCAATTTGTCAGTTTTAGTTGTGTTTTCGAAAGAGGGGATATCATTATCAGAAACTCGCCCTGGGCAGCAGAATACTTCTGTTTAATCAGCAAGATAGCACGATGTAACGATTGAAATTTTGGCGGCCGCGGAGACAGATTTTCAGACATTGACGCTCTTTTTAGTCGTTATTGCAGCAATTTGTCAGTTTTAGTTGTGTTTTCGAAAGGGGATATCATTATCAGAAACTCGCCCTGAGCAGCAGATACTTTGGCCCTGCTTACAAGTCTGTTCAAAAGAACAAACTATATATAAATACATTTATTGACAATACAAAACGGAATACATATCTTTCTCCACCATAAATAGGAGAATAAACAACAAAATATATATAAAAATCCTGTAACAAAAAATCTACGCTATTGCAGTAATAAAATACTAAATTAATAGCTAGCAATATTTAAAAACATTTGTATGTAACATCTTACTTTTGTCGTCTAATGAAGTGAAAATCGTAATCCTATGGGGGTGTTTGGTTCAAAACTACTTCGCCACAAGGGTGGCAATATTTAAAAACGAGAATATCGGTCAGGGACCGAAGAATTATTGATCGAAAGTTAGAGGATCCCCCAAAACAGCACTCTTACTCCAAAGTGACACCTTGTGTCCCATCACTAATTAATTAATAACTCGCTAATTATACCACATAATTCATCCAAAATTAATAGGCTTCTGGTCCAACATATGATGAATGCACATGCAAAATCTGGAGCAGATTCAACCTCGCTTTCGTGAGATATCGCGTGTATCTAACAGACAAACAGACAAATACCTATCAACATACTTACCGATTAAAATCGATAAGTAATAATCTACTTGCGGCCTTAGGTATATACTTCCTGAAATTATATTTTCAAATATGAAATGCTCTTACCAGGTTCATATAGGTCATGTTGGGTTAGATTACTTCCCCATCTTATCTTAAGATAATCGGAACTTACCAGTTGTGCATGTCTTACTATAAATGAACCTGATTGCAAATGCTCACTATTTCTAATGTCCATTTCCATTAAAAATAGCATAGAAATAATTTCAATTCCCTGGGATTAGTTTTAATATAGGATTCCATATATAAGCTATTGGGGATAGGATTCTCAAGTTTCAAATAAATCTTTCTGATATATTAAACATTTAAATTAATTAAATGATTAATTAGATCAACTGCGAGATAATTCTAAAACACAAATTATCTGAATATAGAATGTCTATCTTTCTGAAAACCCCCTAAAACCCTTATCAATTAATTAATTAGTAATTAAAATTAGTCCCAGCTGATGTCATCTTTTCTCAGTGCGGCGTGTACGGTCTTCATGTCTCGTAGAAATGCGAGTCGATTCCGATGTGTCTCTCCCCCGGGAAGTTTGCCAGAACCTGGAAAAAGTGAATCAATATCAACTCTGTAATGGGTCGTAATATATCAACATAAATCCATGTAGTTTTAACAGCTCTTGGTACTTCATTGATCGCTACTTTGCTCAGAAATGAATTGAAATAACTTTAAAAATCAGTCACACATAACCTGTGACAGAAAAGAGGCAAATAAAATCAGCCAAGCGTACCTGCAGGATAGCAAAGCGAAGGTGCAGGATACCTTATGACTGACATAGGCAAGTTCACTTAAAATGTAATAAATAATTGGTCATACATAACCTACAGCCAAGAAGCAATTGAAATCGAACATGCGTACCTGCTGGCGATGAAGATACAAAATAACTTTTGATATTTACACTGTTATATGTTAGAAAATCATGCGTTACCTACGGCAGGGCTACTCAACTATTTTTACCGAAGATCCGCATACAAAACTTCAAAATTATTTGGGTCCGGTCTTTCCAGAAATTATATTTCAGCATCCTTAAACGCGCACTTCCTCGACCGGCTAATGGTTATTAGCATTATAGCAAACCAAAATTGTTTATTCTGGTGTTATAGTTCTATTCAAATATATTCAAAATTATAAAAGTCATTTTATAGGAGTGAACTTCAAAAGTGGGGCTAACGATCCAAAATAAAGATATTGATACGGTCCGATTTGGACTGCGGTCCGCCAGTTGAGTAGCCCTGACCTACAGCATGAAAAAAGCAGACTGAATCAGTCATGCGTACCTGCTGGCGATGAAGATGCAGAATAACTTTTGACAGAGCACCCTTTCCTATTAGCACAGCTTGGAGCTTGTTGCTTCATTCTTGATCCTGAAGCTGATCTTGATCTCACATGAGGATATTGTTGATGAAGTGGGAGAAGTGGACGTGCTGTGTGAAAAATTATAAATTAAGGAAACGTTTCTTAACCAGGGGAATTCTTCCCCAGGGAGGATTTTCGGCACTCCAGAAGTGTGTGTACCAATATGTAGGTAATTAATTTTGTTTGCCTACTTTACAACAAATTGTGTAAAGGGACGGAAACCTACGGGCAGGGGGGATATTGTTGGTGAAGTGGACGTGCTGTGTAAAGAGTCAGGATAGTTAGGAAATAATTTAGCCGCGGTGGTGCTAAGTGGGAATACAGGTAAGCAGTGGGAATATATACAATGATACCTCGGTAGTCGAACATAATTCGTTAGGGATTGGGGTTCGATTAATGATTTGTCCGAGTACTGAATCTTTTGCTGTCATGGGAAACAACGGTAATTATTTTAATTCGTTCTTACGCATTTGAAAATACAAAAAATATAACAAAACATGTACCTAAATATCAATAATTGTCCAAATGTGTACAAAGATATAAAAACTTTGTATCAGATATTGTACGAACAAATTTCCATGGATTCTACGGGATTCGTTTATTGTGTGCGATAACAGAATAAAAATTGCGCAAGTTGTCACGATTCCGCTTTCGCGTAAGTCGTAAAGATTTTGTACCAGTAGTTTACTGTGACGGATTGTGGGTTTCCGAAACTGGGGTCCGCAACGATATGAAAAGAGTTTGAACATATACAGATATATCTTAAACTTATCGAATTGCTGTTAGCCTATCAGTATTTAACACTAGTATGTATTGATTCAGACATTCATGAGTTTTATTTCGTCAAAGGAAACATTATCCTTCCTCGTTGGTTAAGTGCAGAAATTGATACGACATAGGATGGGTGGCCGTCAAAATTAAGATTCACATACAGGAGTCCGCCACCCAAAAAGTTTGGGTAACCCTGCCTAGCACATAATTATCCCCCATCTCACACAGGGTAATCACGTCTAATGGCAAGAGCATTCCAAACGCTTCATGCTACTCCAGCACTCATCATGATGGATGTGTTTTTTCATTGTTAAACATCACACAGGTTATAAACTGGAGCAAACGCACTACCAGCAATTCTAGATTTTGTCCATGGAATAGTTGGGGGCCAAAAGTTGAGGGAGGCTTTGGAAAGAGGGCCACATATTATAAAAGTTTGCAATCTGTTGCCCTGGGCCATACAATGGTCCGTGGCAACGCTCTCTTGTTGAATGGCCCAGAGGCAGCCGAGATGTGTGGTTCGATGACGTCATCTCACTCAACCGCCCACTCGTATGTTCAATCCCAGTATTTTCATTTGAGTGCCATACAATAAAAAACTATCTCTGTGTGATTCGAACCTGTGAACTCAGCTCTGGTAAATCAATGGTGCGATTGCAATCATGTCCCTAACGTTAAGTTGCAAGATGAGAGAGATTCATTTCCACGCACTAAACCAGCAGAAGCTACTGAAACAGATTCTTGGAGTTCAGGAGGCAAAGTAATTGATAAATACCAGGTTTGTTCAATTTCTCAGACGCAGTAGGATGCGATTGCAATCACGTCTCCAGCTTTAAGTTGCACTCACTCAGAGATGAGAGAGATTCATTTCTAAGCAACGATACAAGACACTAAAATACTAAAATGCTACTAAAACAGATTCAGGAGTTCATAACACTAAGAAATCCGTACATACTTGGTTTGTTCATTTTCTCAGACGGAGTTTTCTTTCTTTTGTCTTCTAAAATAGCTCTATGTCGCCTCACAGTGGCAATTTGATCCGCTTTCTGCTCCATTTTTTGAACGACAGACTCAAGCTCTTTCTCCAAATCATCTTTGAGTTGTCCATTCGTTGTCTCTCCAAGTTGTTTGACGAGGACTTGATGTTCACTGAATAGAAATAAGATTCTCTGATTATCCTATCCTGAAGAAAAGAACAGTTGGTACTCCTATAGTGTTCTACTAGGTTAGGGTTAGGCCATAATTTATTCAGATTTTCCTTATTTTAGTTCTATTACGAGTTCGGGACTGTCTGCGTTAGCCAAGTGAATATACCCCCTGCCCATATGCTTCCGTCCCTTTACACAACTTGATGTAAAGTAGGCGAACAAAATTAGTTGTCTCCAGAGTTGGGAGCCAGACCAACTTTTTCTCAACTCGGACTGAATCAATGACAAATTTTTTCAGACTTCACAACCGTGTTTAAAATCATTACAGGAAATGCACTCACAAAGTCATTTTTCCAAATTCATCTTGAAGAGCCACAAGCAACTCTGATAAATCTTGCTCCGTACTTGATGGGGGGAGAGGGGGTTTCATTGATTTCTTTTTCTTCGATTTTTGTGATGGTGCAGAACTTGGGCGACCTCTAGTGTTGTTTGGTAGATTCGAAGTCTCTTCCATACTCCTGAAATGAAAAGATAATGAAAAGTGTTTTTAAATATTTTCTCAATGGAAATTTAGGCGAAAATTAACCAATCAAAACTTGCTATCAGGACGGCAAATTTATAACTTGCGGACACTTGCCTATTAGTTTGTACAATATATTTGTAAGGTATACAAAGTTCTTGAAAAATTGTAAAAGGTATGCCACGATAAAAAAAGGTCGAAGAACACTGCAATAAACAATAGAATAACTGTAATCTACAAACTGGCTACCAGACATTTTATGTCCGCC